TGAGCGTCGCCTAAATTCCTCAAAATCTCGAGAACCGCTTATCAGAACCTATCGATGTGGGGTCGGCAAATGTAGCTGACGGTGAGATCTAGTAAGGGATTAGAGTGTTGAGCTTCTGTGAAAACTTTGAAACCGTAAAATAGTCATCAACTCGGCTCGCCCGGGTGCACTACTATTAGAGAAAAAACGTAATTCATAAATATAGATATAAATAGATTAAAAAAATAGAAAATTCACGGCAATGATAACTAATTTTCATGTACTGTAAAAATTCAGCAACTTAAAACATATCTAATTTATAAAACCATAAAAAAAACACTTTTAAGCCACTTGTACTTTGTTGAAAACTTTGTAAGTTATCTTTTCTTTCTTTTCTTTCTTTTCTTTCTTTTCAAACTCTTTCAATCAAAAATTTAGCATAGAAATTCAATAAATATATAAAAATACTTTATTTAGAAAGAAATAAAGCGCGAAAAGGACATGAAATATGTACCAGATAAAAGATCACAAAGTTATTTAAAATGCAACGAAATAGCTCTTTTAGAATCAGACACAGTGGAGATCAAAAGCATTTAAAGCACTCAACAAAATCTATGATAGCTGTTCTAAGCTTTCACCAGCTGTTCTAAGGTTTCAAGTGAGAAAAATTTCTTGTTGGGAAGGGCGTTCCAACTTGTCGGGAAGGGTCTTTCAAACTTTGATCACGCGATTTACAAAAAAAGCTCTAGAAGATTTAGAGAAAGCAGATTCGGGATGCAAGATAAAAGAGCCACGCCTAGTCACCAAAAGCCTCAATTTCCGCCGAAAAATTTTTTGAAAAAGATTTTTGAGGTTTTCCTTTTACCATTTTAAAGCATTCAACCAAATCGATGATAGTTGTTCTAAGGTTTCACCAGCTGTTCTAAGGTTTCAGGTGAGAAAAGTTTCAATCTATGTTTACAGCTGACGAATGAGTAGTTAGAAAAATCAATTTTGAATAGTGCTATTCTAGTAAAGTTGAATAGTGCTATTCGAGTTTTTCTGAACCTTTTCAATTTTATCGCTTAGGGGATTTAGAAATAGGTGACGAAATTAAAGGATTCTCGAGTATCGGGCGAATGTAGATAATTAAACATTTCCTATATATGTCGTAGCCGCTTACGAAATTCAGCCGCTAACGCATGAGGGTATTTCCGGGCATCCAATCAAAAAGTCACCCACATAAAAAATGTTCATAATACATATATTTTATAATAAATTTTTGAAATTAGCTCATTTGGTTCAGTAGAAAATTTTTTTTGAGCCCCCAAAGTTTAGGTTCAAGAATGGCTATAAAAAATTTTCTACTCAGCCAAAAAACTTGCCTAATAGCTTATTTTGTAGCCAATTTGATGTAGATTCTTAAAGTAAAGCCATCTAAAACAATTTTTCGTTGAAAGTAGGAGAAAGAGGGCGAGGAACAAATTCAGGGGCAATTCTCAAATGTGAAAACAGCGACCGAGTTCAACTGAAGTCGTTCCTCGCCCTCTTTCTCCTAGCTTTGAAAAACAAATATTCAATGTAGCTTTAGAAATAGGTGACCAAAGTAAAGGATTCTCGAGGATCGGGCGAACGTAGATAATAAAGCATTTCCTATATATATTAATATCTGGTATACAAATGGATCTAAGAATTTTGCCCGCACAAAAGAACGCCTTCTTACATATTTTTTCTATGTGTGTAGTGGAATTTAGAGGATTTAGAATTTATAGATTATAGAAAATACAATTTAGAATATGTAGACTCCTAAATCACGAAGAGATTCATTGTTAGCTATGGACTTTATTGCGGCATCACCAATTTTTTTATTTATTTTTTTATTGCGGCATTACCTGAATCGCAAAAAGATTCATTGTTAGCTATGGACTTTATTGCGGCAATTTTAATGGGAACTTTTATTTTTCCTGTACTAAAATGAATAGATTTTGAGTGAGAAAGTTTTAAACTTCAAATATTGAACCAAATTTAAACAAAATTGAAACAAAATATTGAATATGCATCAAATTTTTGTTGATTGCTAGTCTGGAAAGGATTGTTAGTTGGCTAGTGAATTTCTCGACAATTCTTTCCGTACATCCATTGAAGAATCAATAATTGGTGACCAATAATTGGAAGAAATAGGTGACTAAATTAAAGGATTCTCGAGTATCGAGCGAATGTAGATAATAAAGCATTTTCTATATCTAATTCAAATAAAAATTCAATAACAATAATGATCTTTTCTTTCTTTTCTTTCTTTTCAATCTTTTTCAATCAAAAATTTAGCATAGAAATTCAATAAATGTACTCCAAATTCGTAGACGGAACTGAAAACTTCATTCCCCATCAAACCTTCCCATTTCCTTGTCTCAAAACTTTGTGATCTCTGAGACTTTCTCCATTTCGATGCCTGTTCTCTGTAATTTTCAAAGATTTCTCTTTTTCTCGATTATCCCCTCATTTTCTCTCGAGAAAAGACCAAGAAAATCAATTTCTCGAACGACTAAAAAGCTTATTCCAAACCAAAAAAGTCCAAAAAGCAAAGCAAAAAGTCTTTTTATAAGCTATTGATTACAAATTTCCTTTTTAATACTTTATAATTTTAGCTTTATAGCTTTATAAAGCATAGAAATTTTAGCTTTATAGCTTGATTTGATACATTAGAATTTACCACATCTTCTCTAATAATAGTGCGCCCTGAGCGTTGCCCAAATTGCTCGAAATCTCGAGAACCGCTTATGAGAACTTATTGATGTGGGGTCGGAAAATGTAGCTGACGATGAGATCTAGTGGGGGATTTGAGTGTTGAGCTTCTGCAAAAGCTTGGTAACCGTAAAATAGTCATCAACTCGGCTTGCCGGGGTGCACTACTATTAGAGAAAATACGGTAAATGGATTCAAAATTCTTCAAGCTCAATCAAGCAAGACTTTTGCCTTTTGCCAGAGAGCCTTTTGACTTGAATCTAGTGAGCCAGAATATCGTATTTTCTCTAATAATAGTGCGCCCTGAGTGTTGCCCAAATCCCTCGATATCCCGAGAACCGCTTATCAGAACTTATTGATGTGGGGTTGGAAAATCTAGCTGAAGATGAGATCTAGTGGGGGATTAGAGTGTTGAGCTTCTGCAAAAGCTTGGTAACCGTAAAATAGTCACCAACTCGGCTTGCCGGGGTGCACTACTGTTAGAGAAAATACGGTGTTTAAATTTTGTGAGATTAATTTTAACTGCTCAAATATCGGATACCATTTTAAAACCCATTTTTCACATTTTTCCGCAGAATTGATTTCAAAATTACTTTTCTTTTCTCAAACTTTTATAGAGATTAACTTCTTTTTGATTCTAAAAGGGGATTTTGAAATTCTTAGAATCCGCAGCTTATCCAAAGTTTGGATACATTAAAATGCAGAAGATTTGTCAGCTAAAATGCGAAGTAATTTCTAAAAATCAAAACTTTTGAAACTTTTTGCCTTATCACTTGCTTGTTTTTCCTAAAAAAGCTTTATTTTTTGTCAAGCTTTTCTTTAAAGAAACTTGTTTTGAGTGAGGAATCGATATTTTCAACTTTATCGTATTCTGCAAGAATGCAAGAATTTTCTACAAGAAATATCAATTATCAATCCAAGGAATTCTCCATTTTTATCGGCTTCTTCCTATCTTCGACATAAGTTCTTGATTCCATTTGTGAAAATTTAGTGATTTTTTGAGCCAAAATAGTTGTCGACCGCTTTTTTTGGACTTGAGCATGGTCATTGAACTTTTCTCTCTGTTTGAGGAAAACAAAAAGTAACCTGACAGGCTAAATCAGGAGATTAAGGAGGATGAGGAAGCAAATTTCAGCCCAACTTATGAATTTTGTTGTGATTTCTGTCAATTCGTCAATTTCGTCAACTTTTACAATGTAGGGTTTCGCGTTGTCGTGAAAAATCGAATCTTTAATGGATTGAGCTTCAATTTCTTTATCATTAACTCTAGTCAATTGTTTTAAATAGAGAGTAATATTTTCTTTTGGATTAGCTAACTCCGTGCACCAAAGAACCTTTAGTTCCAGCAACAGCAACAACAGAAAACTTTAGCTCCGGCAACAGCAACATCAAGTTAAGGAGTGCTTCGAGAGACTTGTCCGGTAGATAGCCATTGGCTCTTCCTTTTAGCATTGGTTCTTCCTGTTCGCATTGGTTCTTCCTTTTAGCATTGGATCTTCCCTTTAAAATTCTCGTAATTAATCCAAGTTTCATCAGATGTCGAAATCGAATCCCAAAAGCCAGCTTTGCATTTATGGAACAAAAAAGAAATGGCGATTACAGGACTTGTTTTGTTGATTTGAGGCAATTCGTGGAGCCATTTTCCCAAGTTAGCGCAAATGATTGTCGATTGTCTTATGATCAACATAAAACATTTCTGCAAGCCCTCAAGTCCTTGCAGTCTCAAGCATTGGGTTGAAGTCAATTTCAATTCCCCCAATGCGAAATTCAAAACGCGCATTATTTTTTCCTTAACTTTAGCCTAAGCCTGATTGAATCAATTGCTTGAACCAACTAATTGTTATTGATTGAGCGTCGGCCGTGAAATCGTTGAACTTCAGATCTCTTGGTACACTTCAGATCTCTAGCTCTCTTGGTACACTTCAGATCTCTAGCTCTCTTGGTACACTTCAGATCTCTAGCTCTCTTGGTACACTTCAGATCTCTAGCTCTCTTGGTACACTTCAGATCTCTAGCTCTCTTGGTACACTTCAGATCTCTAGCTCTCTTGGTACACTTCAGATCTCTAGCTCTCTTGGTACACTTCAGATCTCTAGCTCTCTTGGTACACTATAAGCCAAATCAGCCAATTCTTCTTTCATTTGTTGCTATAAACATACCATAACTTTGACTCACTAACTTTGTTTGAAAACAAGACTTTTGAGTTTGCTAGTTTTGCTGAGTTTATGGCTTTTTGTTTGTTCACTTATTTCAATGATTTCAGCTATTTTCTTCTTTATTTTAAAAAGAAATAAACAAATATGGCAAACGCCGAAGAAGAAATTCTTGACCTAACAGCCGTGACACCGGAAAAGTGCCGTGTTTGTGGGAAAACCCCGGCCTCAAAAGTCTATGGATCAATTGCTTGCCAGTGAGTGAAAGAAAGTAAAAATTATCAATTATGGCAACTTTTTAGAAGCTGTAAAGTCTTCTTTATGCGAGCCACCACCTCAGGCACTGGGATGACACTCACAAAGTGTCAAGCCTCATGCTCACCTCCAATAGAATTAGGTTCAATTGATTTTCCATTATGATTTTTCAGTATTTTATCCATTTTTAGAAAAATATAGATGCTCGTCTTGTCGATTAAAAAAATGTTTCGAAGTTGGAATGGATCCGGAAGGTAAGTTGAGTACAAGACTTTTCATCGAAAGAACTTTACTGTAGGCTTACAAGGGGAAGGTCAAGCTGTCCGAGTCAAGCTGTCCGAGTCAAGCTGTCCGAGTCAAGCTGTCCGAGTCAAGCTGTCCGAGTCAAGCTGTCCGAGTCAAGCTGTCCGAGTCAAGCTGTCCGAGTCAAGCTGTCCGAGTCAAGCTGTCCGAGTCAAGCTGTCCGAGTCAAGCTGTCCGAGTCAAGCTGTCCGAGTCAAGCTGTCCGAGTCAAGCTGTCCGAGTCAAGCTGTCCGAGTCAAGCTGTCCGAGTCAAGCTGTCCGAGTCAAGCTGTCCGAGTCAAGCTGTCCGAGTCAAGCTGTCCGAGTCAAGCTGTCCGAGTCAAGCTGTCCGAGTCAAGCTGTCCGAGTCAAGCTGTCCGAGTCAAGCTGTCCGAGTCAAGCTGTCCGAGTCAAGCTGTCCGAGTCAAGCTGTCCGAGTCAAGCTGTCCGAGTCAAGCTGTCCGAGTCAAGCTGTCCGAGTCAAGCTGTCCGAGTCAAGCTGTCCGAGTCAAGCTGTCCTTTTGACTCGAGCAAATCCATCTTATAGAGTCAGCCATGGAGATCTCAAATCCGTTTTTAGTTTTTTAAAAAAGCAGAAAGGTTTGATGAAAGTGGGACTCGAACTTGAGGGCAAAAAATTGAGGACAAATGTTCTTGCAACGCTTCCAAACGAGCCGCTTTTATTCGATCGGTTAGTCCATGGGCTTTCTCAATCTTGTAGGGATATTTCTTCAACTTTTTCCAAACAATGTTCCACATGGATCCAAATACAACTCCTTCTTTGGTCAACTTCCGAATTGATAGTTTGGGATTTCGTCCGATCTTGTCGCGAACTCTCTTCGTAATAACTGGCGTTGTAGCTGTTTTTGGACATTCGGATCTTGCACGATTGTTGATTGATCCAGTCAAATTAATTGGATTGACACAATCGTAGACGGTTCGCACTGGAAGGCAGAGTTTTTGATCTCCCTTGGGCGTTTGCCTGACTTCGAGAGCCTTTCGATTGTTGGACGAAAATCTCGCGATCTCGCGAGGAGTAAGTTTAAAAAGAAAACAAGTATAAACACTTCAAAGAACAAGAAAAAAACAAAAGAGGTTGTTATCTGATTGCTACTTTCTAAATTATAGACTCTCAAGTAAATGTGTGGGAACTTTTTGATGACCCTGTAGGTCTGGTAGTCTAGCAGACTATGCACTAGATCATTGAAGCAGTTGTTAGGAAAGTGGAGTCTTAAGGATTCCGAAATTCAAGATGCTTTTCTATACCAAACATTTCGCGTTCTGCCAAAACTAAAAACGGATTCGAGATCCCCATGGCCAACTCTATAAGATGGACTTGATCTCGAGGCAAAAGGCTTGGAAGAAAGGCAAATTCTTATAACTTTCATGGTCTTATTCTAATGCTAAAATGTTATTTATCAATATTATCTCTTAATCTCAGTATACCTAATCTTAATCTCAAATCTTAGCAACGGCTCGACGCCGCGGATGTCAACTGCGAGAGAAACGGGCTCAAGTTGGGTTGCGGCCGCGAGGAAGACCGAAAAAAGAACCCATACTAAATTGTTTAAAAGCTTCAACAAGTGTTGCACCTGATTCGGTTAGTTAGTTCGGTTAGTTCAAATAAAATTTCACCTCTAAAATCCTGCAGAGAGAAGTACAACTGGCAACGACTTGCTACAGCGCTCCAATCTCGATGATTGTTCACGGCGAGTACACGATCGAGAGCTTTCTCAATCTTCAACGGTAAAAATCTAATAGTAAAGCTTTCTATGCTGATCTTTTAGGCTAGCAGCCTGCAAAGAGGTTTCATCTCCAATTCTTCTCGATTTTCCCTTTTTCACTGGAAACTCTTTGCACGAGGCACTGAGAAATCCGACTATTGTTTGTCAGCGAACACCTGTAAGCATATCACGATCAACTAAAGCTGTTCATTTTTGATTTGATTAACAATATGCAAACGAACAGCTCTAGAAAAAGATATGTAACGGGGAAATGAGATTTGACCACTTCAACAGCTACTTTTTCAGAACTTCTTGCTACACAAAGGATATTCCAAGCTCTATCTGGTCTAAAGGTTGAAAAGGTAGCCGTTGAAATCATCAAATCTTGCTTTTTTGTAAACTTATTAACAATTGGACCGAAAATGAGCAGCCTACAGAAACGCAGGGAAATCGGATAAAAGTAAAAGCAAGATTACGATAGCTTGCGTTGATGCGTTTTAGAAAAAGAAGACATCATTCTAGTTCAGTTTCTTTGACTGGTATAGCTGGTATAGCTGGTATAGCTGGTATAGCTGGTATAGCTATAGAGCTGGTATAGCTATAGAGCTGGTATAGCTATAGAGCTGGTATAGCTTAAGATATCAAAAACTTTTCTCTAACAAAATTTCAGATGCATAGCGAAAGACCACCGGATATCCCAGCTGATTGTGCCGGCACTCTAGTAGGCCGAGCGTTTTCCCGTTTCTTCGTCTTTATGGCCGATTGGTGTCGCGGGGTACCCGAGTTCTCACAACTCGACGAAAATGATCAAGTATCCCAATTCAAACATTGAAAAGACATTGAAAAACTAAAACTTCATTCCAGTTGAGTGTCTTTTGCCGGAACATATGTAGCATTTCACAATTTGAAGACTACTATCGAACTTATAAAATGAATTTCCAAGATGGACTTCTAATAATCTTTGGAATGCCACTCAAAGTCGCCACTCAACCTCATTTTCAAGGGTTTATACTGTTGAAAAAAAGCTTTAAATAGGTTTTCTTTAGAGTAAAACCCACATATGATTTCCATATGACTTGTGGTTTGGATATTGTGATCCCTTGCATGAAAAAGACGGAAATGGGCGACGAGGAGTTTGTCTTGATGAAGAATATCCTTCTCTTTTCGTCGGGTTTGTCGAAAAAACTTTCCTTAACCAAAGCAATCATTTCAGACTTGGGTCTGAAGGAGAAAAGTGCTCAAGTTGTGCGAAAAGCTTTCAGAAAGTACTCGAGTATGTTGCTTGAGGTGAGTTTGGCTTGCAGTAAAGACAAGCTAGACAAAAGTTCTTCAGTAAAGACAAGCTAGACAAAAGCCTGTCAAGTCCTGGCTTCTCGCCTGGTCAGGGTTGTTAGACTGAACTTTTGGCTCTATCGCCTTAGAGCCTTTGCTCTTGCATGCTCTTCTCATGCTTGCATGCTCTTCGCATGCTTTTTCTTACAAGCTCAAGTATTAGATTGAAACATTCCTCTTCACTTTAGCATCTAAAAACTCGTTTTGTCGATGAGCAGCTTGTCATTTCAAAATTCACACAACTGATGATGATCCCACAATGTATGCAGGTGAACTTTTACATGTTTATTTATTTGAAGAACTAGAATAACTCTAGACTTGTCCAGAAATTCTCGGAAAAGTTGATAATCTACGAGTAAATTCGGCTTTTGGCATTGTATTCTAGAGTAATCTAGAATGAAATGACAATCTAGAATCCTGCAGCCTTTGTTCTATCCAAGTAGCCATTGTTTTTACTTAACCGTAATGATTAGGCAATGATAAAGCCTAGTTGGATCAAATATCTAATTTTAGGATCTCGGAGCGAAGATGGCCCGGCAATTTTGTCGAAATTTGCTCACAAAACAGTGCGGAATGGTTGGCACGCTGGCTGATGAGCTTTTTATAAGACTGTGACAAAAAACTGCAAGGAATTTGCATATGATTGATAAATTTGCATTTGTACAAATAAATGAAAACAAGAATGCACAAAAATATCTGAGAATTACAAAAAGATCTGAGGGCAGGCCTCCGTGTCCATTTCAGCGCGCACAAAACACAAAAGTTCAATGTTTTTCAAAATATATTTGAACAACATTGAAAAAGAACCTTGAATCATATGTAGCTTTCCGCCACTTATTATGAGGTCAAAATATTCCGTTTGACCAATGAATTAGCATTGTTTCGTATACACTACTCCAACTAATAAAGCCACTCCAATTTCTATTTCTAGTTGTTTGTTTTCTTTTTCATTTATTTATAATTCAATTGACTTTAATTTATTACCATAAATACTATTGGGTTGGTGAATTGAAAACTGCCGGACTTTGAACTAAAATTTATTCAAAATAAAACCATAAATTCATTCCAAATAATTTCCATTATTATGGACGACTTCTGCCCATTTTACAGGCAATTTGCGGATTCCTCTTTCGTAGTAGGATTTTGGTTTGTGTGTGAGACAAGTGTGAGACTCAAAAATGGAGGACTGGAGATATCCCAGTTTGAGCACTTTCTTCAAAAGAAACCCAGTTTGGTGAAGATAGAAAAGTTGTAGAGAATCAAAAATTAGGCTTATAGCCAAATTTCCAAAAAGATACACTTAGTAGTTTCGCTTAAAATGCAAGTTTTGTGAAAATTCGTAAATTTGGTATTTCTTGAAAACCAGTTTTTGAATCGTTCTGAAAATTTGGCTATAAGCCTAATTTTTGATTCTCTACAACTTTTCCATTGACACCAAAATGGGTTTCTTTTGAAGAAAGTGCTCAAACTGTGACATATGACAATAGCCCGCAGTTTTCAATTCACCAATCCAATATTAGACCCGTTTTCTCAAAGCCAAAAGGCATGAGTCATGAAGAGAAACGAAGCGGATGACTTATCTTTTGATCTTCTTTGAAAAGCTTTGAAAAAAGAGTTAAGAAGAGTTAAAAGGAAGAAGAAAGAGTGTCAAATTGTGGGGAAGAAACCCTGACACATTTAGGATAAAACAGTGAACAGAAAAACGATATACCGGTTAGAGCCCCAATCCCTCCATTGCCCTTTTCGACTTTCCGGTTGCATTTAATTGGCTTATGATTGATTAACAAGTTGTGCCTGCTTTAGAACTACACCTAAACCTATCTTAGCCTTAAACCTAATCATTTTCCCTTATCTAAGCTTGCTACGGTAGCTGGAAGAAGCTTTAGAGCAACTACACGAGTTACTGACCTCAAAACACATCTGCGAAAGTGAAAGTGAAATCACAACTGCTAAAAAGTTATCTAACACTTTGAAATCTTAAATTTTTCTAATAAATACTGGAATTGAATCATTCTCACGTAAAATGAAGTGACGAATTTTTTCTACGACTAGAGTTTAAACAAACAGCGACAAAGAAAAGAGAGCCATCGATTTTTGATTGATAAGAAATTCGTTTTCTATAAAAGCTATTGATTTTGATTATTGTTTAATAAAACTTGTAATATTTAAAGAAACAATTCAATGCATATTTTCCAATTTTTCCAATTTTCTCACTCATTTGTTTAATCTTTCTTTACTTTTCAGTTTTTAACAACTTTTAACAGCCTTATTTTCCAATTGTGTGCGTAAATATTTATCACTTAGCTTTGTATTTCAATTATTAGCTTATTTATTAGCTTATTTTTGTTGAATCCTTTAACTTAAAAGTTTCAGTTATTCAAAAATGACATCAAAGACTCGAATTGAGTTGTTCCAGACGGAGAAAATCCCAGAGTATCTACAATTTTTACTCTCCGATTTCTGTAAAAGACAACCAATGAATGTTGCTTTAAAGATTCCTGTAGAAACAACAAGCAGCGTGTTTACAAGTCAGTTTAAAAATCAAGATCAATTACGATTAGATTGGTCGATAAATCTTTGATCACTTTTTTTATTTGTTTATGTTTATGTTTATTAGGTTTAGAGGTCTAAAGACTTAAAAAACCTAATTCTCCATATCTATGTGTCTATCTCTAACAATATGTCTAACCGAATGATGTTTTTCCCAAAGAAGAACTCGAAGAACTTTCTCGAAGAATATCACTTTTTAGCGAATTTTACACAAAACGGACTTTTAAGCTTGGATTTTCTTGGAAACGGGCCTAGAATGGCGTAAAAAGATAGAAGAGTGTATAATAAAGGTTCGCTTTGAAGTAAACCGTAGCTCAATTGATGAACTTTTTATTTATAAACAGATTTATGGTACTCTCCCATTATACCCCCACAGCGTCAATCCCATTATACGCTTAGATCTTAAAAAAAATAGCATTTATCCGAATGATGTTTTTCCCAAAGAAGAACTCGAAGAACTTTCTTAATTCAACGGATCCTTCTATTCACAAACAAACTATCTGGCTATGGGGAAGCGCAAAGTGGCGGAATAAGAAGCACCGCGGTACATCAAGTCATCATTTGGAAAGCTACCTTGCGGAATTCATGGTCAGAACTGAATTCGGAAAGATCGATTACTTTGATTGGGTTCTTAAAAGGATTACCTCCACATGGCTCTTTCTTTTTTCTATTGGCCAAAATGACCATGAATTCTGGAAGGTAGCTTTCCAAATGATGACGTGATACATCACGTGATGTATCACGTCATCATTTGGAAGTTAGGTTTCTAGCCAGTTTTTAAAAAGCTAAGTTTCTAGCCAAATTTTCAGAACAATTTGTTTAGTCGATATCACTTTTTATCGAATTTTATGCTAAACGGGTTTTTGAGCTTGGATTTTCTTGGAAACGGGCCTAGAATGGCGTTAAAAAGATAGAAAAGTGTACAATAAAGGTTTGATTTGAAGTAAACCGTCGCTCAATTGATAAACTTTTTATTTATAAACAGATTTATGGTACTTTCCCCATTATACCCCCACAGCATCAATCCCATTATACCCATCTCATTTAAAAAAATTAACATTTAACAAAAAAAACAACAAAATTGAGTTTGCATCAATCCCATTATACCCACAAATGGCAGGTTTTAAAAAAGCTTTTCTAACTACAATCCACAACTCATAATCCCACACAATAGATTCACAATTCAATTTTTGGAGGCCATGTGGAGGCAATCCTTTTAAGAACCCAATCAAAGTAATCGATCTTTCCGAATACAGTTCTGATTATGAATTCGGCAAAGTAGCTTTCCAAATGATGACTTGATGTACCGCGGTGCTTCTTATTCCGCCACTTTGCGCTTCCCCATAGCCAGATAGTTTGTTTGTGAATAGAAGGTTCCGTTGAATTAAGAAAGTTCTTCGAGTTCTTCTTTGGGAAAAACATCATTCGGATAAATGGAATTTGATATAGAGAATTAGGTTTTTAAATCTTTAGACTTCTAAACCTAATTCTCTATATCGAATCCCTTGTTCTTGACAATCTCTTGAGTCAAGCTTAGTCAAAAATAGCATTTGAATCTCTTTAGTAAACTGTAAACTTTAGTTTTCAATACGGAAGAATGTATTAGGTTGGCAACTTAATAATGACGCGTCACTACTTAACATGTTTTTTGTAATTTCAAGCACCGTTTCTTCCTTCTTTTTGCATATATACAAAGTAAAAGATGTCTGCATAAATAGCATTTAGTGCTACAAATTTCACCATTCGCTTTTTGGAAAAAATGGAGGACAAAAAATTCCGTATTCGAGCTGTATTGTTCTACGATTTTAAACAAGGAAAATCTCCAGCTGAATCTTATCGCACGATCATCACTGTTTTGGAGAGGAAAGTATACACATTCGGCAATGTCAACGATGGTTTCAAAGATTCCAATGCGGCGATGGAAGCCTCGTAGACGAGCCACACCAAGGACATCCTCCAGAAGTGGTCGACGATGACTTGCTCGCCTTAATAGAAGATTGCCCAACACTCACCGTTCGTGAGTTGGCAGGAATATTTTAAGTATCCCATACGACAATCGAAAACTATTTACACACTTGGGAAAAAGAATCGTGTTGGAAAATGAGTTCCTCACGAATTGACCCAAAGCAACAAAATGGCCCGTGTCAATGTCGCCTCAATTTTGCTACAAAAATGTAAATCGAACGACTTTTTTCACTTCTGACGAAACGTGGATCAACTACGAGAACGTTAAACGCAAAAATCAATGGCTATCTGCTGGGCAGACCCCTCAAACCACTCCCAAACCTGATATCCATGGGAAGAAGATAATGCTCTGTTGCTGGTGGTACTTCAAGGGATTGGTGCATTATGAAGTGCTGAAACCTGGCCAAACCGTCGATGCTGATCTTTATTCGAAGCAATTAATGAGAGTTAACGAGTCTTTGAAGAAATTGGGGCTCAAACCGGAGAGAGTCAGATTTTTACGCGAGAACCCAAAATCTCACACTGCAAAGATCACTTATAAGAAAATCGTGGAACTTGGCTGGAAAGTTTTGCCCCACGCATCTTATTCACCTGATCTGGCTCCTTCAGATTACTTTTTGTTTCGGTCGCTGAAGCACTTTTTGAAGGGAGAAAAGTTCGATGATCATGCTCGGATCATAAAAGCAGTGAATGACTACTTCACCTCAAAAACTCCCAAGTTCTTCGAGGATGAGATCCGGGATTTGCGCAGAAGATGGGAAGAAGTCATAGATACTAATGGAGAATACCTTTTGAATTGAAGGCTCTTCTTTTATGTTTTTTTAAAATAAATGATTTGTTACATAAACGCGTCATTATTAAGTTGCCAACCTAATAGAATCGTCCCAGAAACAGTTGATCCAAAGCTTTTCCAGGTTTACTGCAAAAGGGTAACGAAAGTGGTGTCTCTTTTGTGCTCTACAATGAAAATGATGAACTTATCGGTCTTTTGTAAGTACTTTTTTCTGTTAATGATTTCAATAGTTTATCATTTTCTTGATAAAAAGATAAGATAAAAATTTTAGAGGCTCTTTTGGAAGATCAAGAGGGGAAATAGCGTCCGATACTATTACAAAGAATGGTTTCAATGAAGAAACCGATGAAGAACCCGTATTCCATTTCTCGAGGTTACTTGATCAAAAGGTGGCTTGACATTTACAAAATAAAAAAGTAAAAATTCAGCTTTTTTATATTTAAATTTTCCAGTATGACATTTGGAACCGAATACCAAAAAAAATTGACAAAATCTTGTGGATCTCGATTATATCTGTGAGGAACGATTACAGTAGAAAAGGTTGAACAATTTGTTGTTTTGTTAGAATTTGTAAGTTTTAGGCTTTAGGCTATTTTATTGCTTTAGGCTATTGTATTGATAGCTTTAGGTTATTGTATTGATCTTAAAGTATTTGTTTGATTTTAGGTCTAGCTAAACTGTTGATAAACCATGGTTTGGAGAAAGCAAAAGAAGTTGGATATGAGGTGACTGCTTCAAATGCTGGTGCTCTTGAATCGCAAAAGGTGAGCTGGCAAAGTTGGCAAAGTGAACCGGATGAGCCTCAAGTTTGATTGTTGAATTTGGAAAGTTCAAAATTGGCTATAAGATTCTATTAGGTTGTCCAGTTCTAAATGCACGTTTTTGGGGGCTTATTCCAAATATTTCTGCAAGTTCACGTGTAGTTTTGTGAGTTTGTGGAGGATTAATTTCGATCACCTGCTTAAGTACTGCATTATCGATCGTAGGAGGCCGGTGGTCCTGATCTCCCAAAAATCGTTCTCTCCTTCTCGAAACCATCGCCGACACTGGCTTTCCGAAATAGCATCTTCCAAAATACTTTCCAAAGGCCTCGATGAGATTCAGCGATATTTTTGCCCAATTTGAAGTCATACCAAAGACTGGCAAGGAGACGAAACTTCGTGTCGTTCACAGAAATTAAATCTAAACACAGAAATTAAATCTAAACAGCAATTAAATCAAAAATTGACATCAAAAACACGAAAAGTTGTAATAAAATATGAAAAAGAAAAGAAAAGTTGTAATAAAATAAAAAAAAGAAAAGAAATGTTGTTATAAAATAAGAAATCCTGAACAGCATATAGAAAATTGGGTTTGATAAAATTGTAAAGCTCTAGGGAATGCTGTTCAAGTTGTTCAAGAGCAGGCGTGCATTCATAACTGGACAACCTAATACATTAAGAGAACCAAAGGAAGAAAGTCGCAAATGAAAACTGCTCCAAAGTGGAAACTGGACATAACTGGACAACCTAATAAATATGGTTTGAGAAAAGAGACAGATCTTCGTATCACTTATCCAGTTTCTTATCCAGTTTCTTATCCAGTTTTCTGACCTCAATCCAGTTTTCTTGCCTTCAAGCATAAGTTTTTAAGGTTAAGCAGAATTGAAACCATCTTTAGAAGCACATTTTTCTTTTCTTTTCTTTCTTTTTTCTTTCTTTTCTTTTCTTTTCTTTTCTTTCTTTCTTTTCTTTTCTTTTCTTTTCTTTTCTTTTCTTTTTCCTGAATCTAATCTTACTGCCCATTTCAGCTCTTTGAAAGTCTTGGTTTCGTGATTCTCTGCGAGGGTTTTCACACTGAATTTCTCGACAAAAATGGTCATCAACTTTTGAAATGTTTAGATGAAACAAAAAGCAATCAATTGGTATTTCGTTATTTGTGATTTTTCAAGTAAAAATGATTATTCTTTCTTAAAACAATTCAAAAAATAAAACATCTACATTACAATTCAAAAAAATCATCACTTTTGAAACAATTATCAATCTTTTCTCTTTTCCACAAGATCATAAACGTTTTCATTTTTCGATTTTCTATAAACAAAGAAGAAATTTTTATCCTTGAAATGTTCATTTTTGAGAAAAACTGGATATTGATAAACCAGTAATGGGGAAAGAGAGAATTTGAACGATTTTTTTGCCAAATTGAGTTTATCACTTGTCGGGAAAATCCATATTTTTGTCAGAGAATCCCTAAAATTTCCTCAAAACTTATAATCTTGTGACTGAAAACTTTAAAAATGCTTCTTTTATTGATTTTCTTGATTCCGACTGTGTTGGCGGTTGGAATGCCGGGCGTGGGAATGGGTGAGTTCACATTGTGGTGGTGTTGTTGTGGTTGTTGTTCTTCTTCTCCTCCTTCTCCTTCTTCTTCTTCTTCTCCTTCTTCTTCTTCCTCTTCCTCTTCTTCTTCTTCTCCCTCTTTTTCTTCCTCTTCTTCCTCTTCTTCTTCTTCTTCTTCTTCTTCTTCCTCTTCTTCTTCTTCTTCTTCTTCTTCTTCTTCTTCTTCTTCTTCTTCTTCTTCTTCTTGTTTTAATCGTTTCTTGGGGTTTCTCCTTTCAGTTCAGAACCTAGTCAAAACCCAAAGCCAGGAAAATCAAGGAAACCTAGATCGGCGCTTTGTTTCTGGCCCAGAACTGTAAGCCCTGTAAGCCCAGCAGATCAAGGAGCCAGAGACAATGTAGCAAACATTTTTCCGGTCAAGCAAGTTAAGTTCAAATCTGTCCTGGGCTTAACTTTGCTGCTAGCCAGGATTCAAGGCCAGGTTTCACTAACAACAAGACATTTCAGAACCCCCTCCCCCACCCAGCCAAGGAGAGCCGCAATTTGGGCCAGGCCGAAGCGACTTCGCTAACGGTCCTCCACAATCAAATTTTCAGCCGGAACCACTGGGTAAACTCAGATATCAAATCTGGGCTAGTTTAGTTAGCTTTGCTGCTGGCCAGGATTCAAGGCCAGGTTTCCCTAACAACAAGACATTTCAGACCAACCCCCTCCCCCACCCAGCCAAGGAGGGCCGCAATTTGAGCCAGGCAGAAGCGACTTCGCTAACGGTCCCCCACAATCAAATTTTCAACCGGAACCACCTGGTAAACTCAGTTATAAAATTAAAGCTCTTATTTTATTTCAGTTCCTCAGCAAAACTTTCGCCCACAACAAGGAGCGCCGATGCAGGCAGATTTTGGTGGAGGAAGTCCTTTTGATAATCAAGTACCTTTAGACTTTTACTGTTTCTTTAAAATTATGAAATTTAGAACCGACCACCGCCTGACTACGGTAATATGGGGGATTATGATGGGTGAGTTATTGAAGTTATTGAGTTGTTCAGTTTTCTATGAAAAGTACTGTTTTAGGGGCGACGGTGCTGGTCCGGCCGGTCCTCTGTCTCGATATTTGTCCCCGGTAAGGTTTTTCTGATTCCTAAGACTTACTCTATGTCTCATCAAGTTTTTTAGTTGAGAAGATTCTTTAATCCGATCACAAGACATCACTTTGTACATTCTGACCCAGTTGTCATGATGAGAAACATCGGTGGAACGGGAGCACCCACGCATTTCATCATTCCAGTGCCAACGTATAACAGGTATCAAGGCCAACTTATCATTTTTATCTTATCGCCTAGAAACCAAGAAGTAATTGATCAGCTTTGCCCGTTCTTGGTTCGATTGCATAGTATGAAGATGGGTGGAGCTCAGCTACTCGTCTCGAATCCATTCCAACATCGACGTGGGAAAATGATGGGATGGGTAAGGGTTAAAGAAGGACATTTTTAAAGAAAGCTGCTCTATATTTCATCCGGTTTAATTACCCAAATGTGACCCCAAATCCCAGGCCATATGCCAGAAAGCTGCGATTACAAAAATGTGGAGATTTTCGAATCCGGCTGCTCGCAAACGGTCTCTAGAGATTTAAGACAGAACCCAAACCTGGTTTTGCTCTGTTTTCCTTTTTTTCTCCAATTTGGTTTAATTACCCAAGTTTTTAGAGTTTTGTGATGACTTGGAAATTAAAGTTACTCAAAAACTAACAACGGATACAGATTCTCTATTCCAGAATGCCCCTGGTTACAATTTTTCAAATCTAACATAGATAGCTGTCGTCTGAAAAGACAAAAATGCTCTTTTCGTGAATGTGTTACGACTTTAATTCATTTTCACACTCGGTTTAATCGCCCAACTTTGCTTTTTCAGCGAGACAACGCTCCAGCGGGAATGTGTTCAAAAGTCAGAGGCGCCTGTGGTTGGTTTTGTTTTTGAACAGCTAGGGAGGTGTTCTAAAGCCGGTTTATTGTTCTAAAGCTCGTTTAGTGTTCTAAAGGCAAGGCCAAGATTCTGGTTTGGCCTTTACCTAGTCTAGTCGAGGTTCCTGACCTCTAATTCTAGTCTAGTCGAGGTTCCTGACCTCTAGTTGGACTTGGTTTTGCCAACTCTGCAGCTAAACTTGACCATAAGATCCCGAGTGTAACAATTTCAGGAGCTAATGTCCCAATTGTGGCCGCAAGACGGACAAATCTTGACCCAGACTTCATCCATTTCGTCACTCGAATCGAAATGAACCAATATCTGATGACCCATCGAAATTTTGTCCCCTCTGGACGAGGGGCGATTTGTTGGGTTTGGCGATAAAAGTTTGATAATAAACAAAAGATCATTCACTGAATACATTTCAAAACTTCCTAATCAACAATTCTAAACTCCTAACTACAAAAGCAGCCTGTTCAGCCAATAGAGGAGTCTGTTTTGAGTCTATTGAAGGTTATAAAAAGTGAAAGCGAGACCGAGACAGGCAAAGTTTAGCGGATATGTGATCTTTTTTCTTTCTTTAATTTATGAGCTCTCAACTTCCTGTTTGAGAAAGAGAAATTGTTGTTTTGATATTTGGAAATTGAGCGAAGTGTACCTAAGAAATAAAGATACGAGGCTATCATGTAGTTTAGTAAGATCTAGGATTTGTATTGTAGTTTAGTAAGATCTAGGATTATTGTATGGTAGTTTAGTAAGTTGTTTAGAGTAATGGTAAGGATTTTGATTGAAAATGGAACTTTGAATATGGATATTGGATGATTAGTTGATAATGATTGGATAGGAGGCTTTATGACCCAATTGCAAAATTGATTGAGTTGCAAAACTAGATCGACGATTGATAATAGATCGACATTTATCTAATTGTATCAGATCTGTGAGAAATAAAGAATCTAGTACTAAAGCCTAATGAATAAAGTAAGTAAAAGTGTCAAGAGTAACACAAAAGAGATTGAGATTGTTTCCTTATCCTTATCTCTCTAAATTTGGTTCCTTTTCTCTCTAAATTTGGTTCATTTTCTCTCTAGATTTGGTTCCTTTTGACCAACTAAAGTACCTTGACCAAGTATCTTAACAATTGAAGATCTCTGGAACAGGATCTTTGGTATGGCTATGAGTTTAGAATCAGGCTTCGGGTTTAGAATTAGGCTATGGGTTTAGAATCAGGGGTTTAGAAAGAAATCAAGATGATTTCAAGTTTATCTTTTAAGCCTCAGAACGTAACTTTCTGAGGTTTTTAAAGTTTTAAAGAAAGCTTTTAACTTGACTTACGAGAAGGACTTGTTTCACTCTCTGGATTCACTTTTTCTCTACCCACAAACCCATTCTTGTCAAAAGATCCTGTTCTCCTGTTCTCCTGTCCTCCGGAGATCTTTCAATCTTCCTTTTTTTCTTTTTCCATTACCCATTTCATTTCAAGACCTTCCCTCTTTTCCTCAAATGAAATCATTCTAGCAACCTCTCCTAGTTCGATCCTTCAGTCCGATCTGCAGTCCATTCGCTAAACTTTTCTCTTTCTCCCACATTGCCAAAACGCATTTCCTGCTGTTGAGATCTTGATAAGTCTTTGCTCGATCAGTGATTTCAATCATTTCTCGAAAAAAATGCTACAAAAGTTTCTTTTATTCAGCTTGATATTGATATGCTTTGGTGAGTGCTTCAATTTTACTAAATTTTAGTTCATAATGAAGTTGAAATCATATAAAATCAGTACTCGAGTAATCAATGAATACTCGAGTTTCATCCAAGTTTAAAATCAAAGTCATAAGTCAAAAGTTAAACAAAAACTCACCAGTTAAGTTTATCACAAGTAAAGAAAGATCAAGACAAGAATCAAGCCGGTTTTTCCTTGATATTATCAAAGTTCTTGAATTTTAGAACTAGAATAAACTAGAGCACGTGCTAATGCTAGAGCACGTACTAATGCTTAAGAGTAACTTTAAGCTCAATTCAAATCCTCCTCAAACGCTCCTTTAAAGCTTCTTTAAAGCTCTTTAAGGGTCCTTTAAAGCTCCTTTATAGTTCCCCTTTAGTTCCTCCAAAGCCCCTTTAAAGCTCCTTTAAAGCTCCTTTAAGGCTCCTTTATAGTTCCTATTTAGTTCCTCCAAAGCTCCTTTAAAGCTCCTTTAAAGCTCCTTTAAAGCTCCGCAAACGCTCCTTTAAAGCTCCTTTGAAGCTCCTCAAACGCTCCTTTAAAGCTCCTTTCAAGCTCCGCAAACGCTCCTTTAAAGCTTTAAAGCTAGAGCACGTGCTAATGCTTAAGAGTAACTTTAAGCTCAATTCAAATCAAAATCCTTTATCATTTATTCTTTGTATCCTGTCTAGATGTATGTTTAACTAATTAAAAGGTTACTAAGATTAAATTGACTAAGATTGAGATTTGTACGTCTTCTATTAGATCTTCAGAGTTAACAATAATCTCTGCTCGCCATCATGGTGGTCATGGAGGAAGCCATCATCACAGCCATCATCACAGCCATCACTGGGGAGGAAATCACCACTGGGGAGGACATCATCATTGGGGTGGTGAGTGCTTATAATATAAGCTTATAATCCCTAAATAGAAAATATCAATTGAATAGATTAACTTTAAAATTTCCATTATTTAGGTCATCATTTCCATCATCATCACCATCATGGCGAGTTAGAGCCCTTAGAAATTCGGTTCTTGGTGGTAGACATGGGAAAATTCGAACCCTCCTAATTCCACCTTCGTTTTCTCAGCTCTCTTTTGGCCGATTACTCTGAAATTGTGACTACAGATAGAAATCGACATTTTCAATTTGTAGACAAAATTTCAGAGCAATCGATCAAGAAATGACCGAGAAAATGAAGGTGGAATTAGGTTCGGGTTCGAATTTTCCCATATAGTGGTAGATACATCTAACAAAATCGCTAAATACGTTAAAAGCAAACTATTGAGTATTGATTATAGGTGGCTATCATCACTACGGTGGCTATGGAGGAGGGCACAATGGAGGATACAATGGATATTATGGAAGAGGTAAACGATTAGATGACAGTTCTGCTAGAGTTGCATATTAACGGCAAAGTTACGAAAGTTTCTTTGCTCCGTTAATATGCAAATTGATCTTTAACATTTTACTTCATTGAATCTTAACATGTTTTCTAGTTTTGCTTTAATTTTGAATAGATTTAAGCTCGAATTAATAGCTTAAAAACATGGGAAATTTATTGGGTTGGTGAATTGAAAACTGCGGGACTTTGGACTAAAATTTATTCAACATAAAACCATTCCAAATAGTCAATTCATTCCAAATAGCTTCCATTATTATTGACGACTTCTGCCCATTTTACAGGCAATTCGCGGATTCCTCTTTCGTAGTAGGATTTTGGTTTGTGTGTGAGACAAGTGTGAGACTCAAAAATGGAGGACTGGAGATATCCCAGTTTGAGCACTTTCTTCAAAAGAAACCCATTTTGATGTCAATAGAAAAGTTGTAGAGAATCAAAAATTAGGCTTATAGCCAAATTTCCAAAAAGATACACTTAGTAGTTTCGCTTAAAATGCAAGTTTTGTGAAAATTCGCAAATTTGGCATTTCTTGAAAACCAGTTTTTGAATCGTTCTGAAAATTTGGCTATAGGCCTAGTTTTTGATTCTCTACAACTTTTCCATTGACACCAAAATGAGTTTCTCTTGAAGAAAGTGCTCAAACTGTCACATATGGCAGTAGCCGGCAGTTTTTTGATACATTGATCCAATACATTGATCCTGCTTTGGTTGACTGACAAAGATACGGAAGTACTTTCTGCTTTTACTATAGATCAAAGCATTTCATTAAAGAAATTTAAATTCTAGTGAAAAAAACACATAACTGTATCAAATCGTTGGAAAAGCCTTTTCGGACTTCTTGTTAGTCAGAATCAGAGCTAATGCATTAAACATATTCAAAACCCGGCTATTCAGTAGCCAGATTTTGACAAAATCCGGCTACTAAATAGTCAGCTTTTGTAAGTTTGTTAATAAACTCTTTTGCTTTTGATTATCAAGGTTCACAAGCCTTTTATAGTCGATGCTTTGTTATATTGACTATTTACAAAGCAAGGTAGTTGCTTGTAAAAGTGTACAGTATTTCAATGAGTCAATTATAGTTTTCCTTAAGTTTCACCGATTTAAAGACGTATTTTTCAGGATTCGGTGGCCTAGGCCTACTTGGACTTGGATTGTATCGACCCTACGGTGAGTGTCTGGTGTTATTTCCATAATAGCTAACCATCAGATTGTGCGAAAATTGAAAATTGAAAATTGAAATTGCCATTGGCAATCTAACTTTGAGCTTAAACATCTTGGTGTTGGGCTGTCGAATTTATGTTTTCTTGCTATCATTGGATTCGCCAAGTCTTCCTCTGTCAATTGGTATAAAAACTATTCAAATTGGACAACCCAACACCAAGATATTTGAGCTCAAAGTTGGATTGCCAATGGCAAAGGGGCGGGGCGACGGACATCTGCTAAGCCCCGCCCCGTTTGCCATTGGCAATCCAACTTTGAGCTCAAATATCTTGGTGTTGGGTTGTCCAATTTAAATAGTTTTTATACCAATCGACAGAGAAAGACTTGGCGCATCCAATGATACCAAGAAAAGGTCATTTGAACAGCTCAGCACCAAGATATTTGAGCTCAAGGTTAGATTGCCAATGGCAAAAGGGGTGGGGCTTATCAGATGTCCGATAACCAACCTTCAGGATATGGATACGGCTCTGGATATCGTTATCCATATTATGCTGGATACTATGGAGGATATCGACCATACGGAGGCTACTACAACTATGGAAACTATGGATATAACAATTACAACTCCAACTACAATAATTATGGGTACAATCCTTATGGAACGTGTCAAGGTGAGTCTGTGGTGCGGCTAAGAGCTAAAAGTTGCCTTTCAAGTTTCATGTTGCCAATCTAATAGTAAAAAAGGAAAGTAAGGAATGGCAAAGAAAGATTTCCGGAGAGGGGATTGAACCCGCGAGCTTTTTGCTTTCGAGGCAGATGCTCATTAAGCTATTCGGTATCTTCTTGCCGGAGAAAAAAAGGAAATTCAAGGCGGAAAAGAAAAGAAGAATGAGAAGGAAATACCCGGTTCTTTATGGCTCTTAATTTTACCTTAAGTTCAGCCAGATTAAGTCATCAAGTCAATCAAACTCGCCTAAAACTTCCATATTTCAGTCGTGAGCATCACTGGAACCACATATTTATGTTATTGCTCAAATGGACAATATTACAATCAAATTGGTGGATGTCCTGGACAAACGACAGCGACGATTCCTGTTGGGAAATGATTGAAATGTTTGATTAGTTCTTTTCAAAGCTTTACACTTGAATGTGCAAGAAATAAAGATTAGAAGTCGTTTTTGGGAAATAAACAACCGGTATCAAATTTTATTTGGATTTTAATTGAACAAGTTGGACTTGTGAAGTTAAATGCAAGTAAATCAGAAAGCAAAATAAAGCAAAGTAAAGCAAATCAATCTTTTTAACAAAGCAAAGAAGCAAATTTTTGAATTTTTGAGTTTTTTGATTTTTTTGTAGCTTTTTTTGATTGGCTTTTTTTGTGCTATATACAAGGGAAAAAGTTTTGAGAAAAACAGAAAGAGAACAAAAACCATAATTCTTTGAATCAAAACTTTAAGAAAGTGTACTCGTTAGTTGCAATTTGTTTAATTTCTAGAAATGGGGCTTTAAAAATGAAGGCAAAAGCGCTAAAAACCTAAAAACATTCCTGAGAAAATAGTTGATTGTTGAAAAATATTGAAAATTGTTGAAAAACGTTGAAAATTGTTGGGAATTGTTGGGAATTGTTGAAAATGGTTGAAAATTGTTGAAAATTGTTGAAAAACGTTAGCAGAGCTACTGTACCTGTAACTTATGACTCTTTAGCAGGATTTTGCGCGTGAAACAGGATAAATGGAAACTGTTTGCTTGTTGCTGGTTGGCTTATAAGAAAATGGCCTCAGCTCAAAGTTGAGAATCGATTCGAGGATTTTATAAAATCTGACAAACTGATTTTCAATCTGCAAAAATTAGCTGCGGACTCAAACGGAAACGCAACGAATCTGGCATAGGAAATTCGCTTAGATTTCGAACTCTTTATGGGGCCGGCACAAGAAAGCTTTCCAACAGATTTTGTGGTGTTTTCCACGGGCTTTTCAACGGTTTCAGTAGTCTAGCGGATAGTGAACTAGTCTACGGAACCTATAAAGTCTTTGGCTTGGGTTCAAATCCTTCCTTAACCAATTTTCTTGCTTTTTTGAAAAATTATATTAACTATTTATGTTTTATGCATCATTTTACAGCTTCTACATCTTCTAAAGACATAAAATGCTCATAGAATCTTTCACAGAAGTTCATAGACATTTTCGAATCTTGGCATCATTTTTTCACATCTTCTAGAAAACCTTCTAGCGGATATTAAGCATCTAGCGGATAGTGAGCTAGTCTACGGAACCTATAAAGTCTTTGGCTTGGGCTCAAATCCTTCCCTAACCAATTCTTTTTCTTGTTTTCAATAATGGTTATAAAGCCAGTGAATTAGGTAAAAATTCTGAACCAATTTTTTGGATCAGAATTCCAATTTTGGACTCCAATTTTGGTCAAATTCAGTGCGTTCTTCAATGGAAATAGTTAAGGCTTCTGTTTTACTCAACTACAGTAACTACAGTAGCTACAGTAACTCTGTTACATTTTTCAACAAGTTTACGGTGAATTTGTGGGTGTAAAAGAAACAGGTGGTGGGGCCAAGAGATCATCTTCGTCGAAAAATGGAGACTCGTCGCCGCTCAGTCTTGCTAGAGCAGTAGTGTTCCAAATTGGCCTAGCCACTCTTGAATCAGACTCTAAATTCCTCAGCAAACTGCTTGAACCATCAAAATCCACAATATCAGCGAGAATCTCTTTTTGTATCTTTTGTATCCTCGCCTCCTCATTCATTTGCAATTCGAGCCTCTCGTATTTCACCTGAAATCAAGATTTACTTTGTCAACATCTACAACTTTGCTTTTTTACATCATTTACATCATTTACATCAATCATTTACAAGAAAATCCTATTTTTGATTCACTTACATTGCACTCTATCAAGAATGCATCCTTTAGACAACTTTCGACGATTGGTCGATCCTCAGGTCTCCGCTCCAGCATCGATTTTGCTAATTTTGTGAAGTTGGTTACTAAATTGATAAGTTTGCTGAATTCAAGCAAAACCTACTGCTGATTGCTCCCCAATCTTCCTCAACTCTGCCTCGCCATTCATTAGAGATTTGATCAAAGTCCTCGTGCACAGTCTCGATTCGTTCCAAGACAACTTTCGCTGGTCCGTTTTGGGCAATCTGAAAGTTTGGTTCTTCTCGTAAATCCGATTCTTTTCATTGTGAAAAGCTGTCAAAACCCAAAGAATATCGAAAGGCTTTTTTGGATCAGCTCCGGGTCAGTAAAGTGATGCAATTCTTGAGATCTCATGCTGCTTCTAGATCTAGCAAGGGGACGTTCAGAACCGACTGACATTTCGAGGCGAAACTTTGGCACAATGGTAAATCGATTATGAGGATTCCAAATCTGTAATCCGTTTTTGCTGATGGGCCTTGGTGTTCGAGATCTAAGCGTGCAAAGTTTTGACAAATTTGGTCAAACTGCCATCTTGGGCACTATGACGAAGGAAAGGAAGAGCAGCGGTCTAGTGGGTATTGCGCTAGTCTACAAAACCTATCACATTCTTGTTCACTCGTTCAATTCCGCCACCCGCCCTAATTTTTTACTTTTTTTGTAATTTATTCTCGCTTCACTTTTCTTTATTCTTTTTATCATTATATTTATTTATTTCTTCTACAATTTTTTGGGAGTAATCGCGAGCGGAAGATTTGAATAGTTGCGCATCAATAGGCAAAGGATAACTTCTGGTTTGATCTTCTGGTTCTTCTGGTTCTTCTGCTTCATCTACAATGAGATGAGAAATTATGTTTTGTTCATTTTATGAAAGAGCTTTATCTCTGTTCAATCAATCAATGTTTCAATTGATTGATTGAAAATCAATGTTTTTTCTATTGCTTAAATTGGATAAGTAAAATACGTTTTACATAGAAAACGAGAGAAAAAGGTTAAAAAGTGGAAACATTTTAGGATCTCCAAAAAAGGTTTTCTAAAATTTTGCAAAAAAGTAAAAGATTAGGGCGGGTGGAGTTGAAACCGCGAGCAAAATGTCATAGGTTTTGTAGACTAGCAAACTACCCACTAGGCCGCCGCTGCTCTTTGTCATGGTGCCCTTTTATGATCAAGATGACAGTTTGGCAAAATTTGTCAAAATTTTGCACGCTTATATATCGAAAACCAAGGCCAATCAGCAAAAACGGATTTCAGATTTGGAATCCTCGTAATCGATTTACCTTTGTGCCAAAGTTTCGCCTCGAAATTTCACGGTCGGTTCTGAACGTTCCCTTTGTTAGACTTTGGTGTATAAGTTCTACAAAACAGCCTAGATCCTCTCAATCACTCTGATTCATTTCCCTCACTTTTTCTGCAATCTCTTCCACACTCCCGGTTGGCATGAAAAGTTGGACTCCAAGAAATTCGATTGCGATTGTCCCAATAGCCCAAATATCAGCACAGCTGCCGACTGGTTTCCCCTCCAAAACCTCGATCGATTTGTAGATAAGCGCGTTGAGGTCCTTTGTGTGACAATGGATTTCATCACTAAACTTTGGATCAATATTGTATCCAAAAAACATTTCATTCATAATACTTTATAGATTTGCTTACTTTATCAATCCGAAGTCCGAGATTTTCACCATAAAACCTCCTTCGACCTCTTTTATGCTAATGCTTCTGGGAGAGAGGTTCTGAATGCTTCAAATGATGCCTTTACTTTGAATTATATTGTAAAATCTTGTAATCTAATGAAATATTGATATATTGATGTTTTGATAATGATAATATATTGTAAGTTTGGAAAATTACCAAGCCAAAAACTCCAAACAAATGCAGATAGTCGAGAGCTCGCAGTGGCTGAGTCATCAGCTCACACAGGAGGCGAATGTCTCTTACTGCAAATCCGTGCCCATTGGCTTCACAATCTCGTTGACGCTGGCTTCTAGATTGGAAATTAGCTTGTAAATTAGATTTGACAGTTCCATTATCGTTAATCGAAAGCATATTAATACTTTTTATACCTTTTTGTGCTAACATTTCTTATTTATAGTTCTGAATTGGTCTCTTGGTCAACTGAATTGCAAAAATAAAAAACTAGTCTTGGTCAATTTTTTAAATCTACTTCCTATTTAAATTTTTTTAACCCCTTTTAATTTAATTATTTATCCACTTTTTTTTTTTTTTTTTTTTCAACCTTTTTTAAATTTTTTTAACCTTTTGTTCAATGAATTTCAACTCCAATGAGTTACCCTTGAAAAGCTACTTTAATCTAACTACGGTTAGATGAAAACCAGAAAATTGCTTTTTTACAGACTAACCAGATAAAGTCGACTCAAATTTGATAGAAAGATAGCTTTTTCCGACTTTCCACCGACTTTCATGGATTTTGAAATACTTCAGAAAAGAATCAAAACTCTAAGCCTAACAATAAGATCATAAAAATCTACTTCCGAAAATCAAATCACACACAAAGCAGCTAACTGTATTAGCTATTTGATCAAAAAGAACTTTGCGACATCTCGCTTAAAAGGCTTCTCTGGCGCGACGCGAATATTGCAGCTAACTGTATTAGCGATAGGCTTAGGCTATTGGCGCACTGGATAAGACGCTCGGATTCTCGCAAGCTATTTACTTTTTGCTTGAGGCAAGTTGGGGTACTTCCCTTGTAAGCCTAAGCCTTCCCTTGTAAGCCTATAAACTTCTATTTTTAAGTCAAAACATACCTAAAGCAGCTGATCTATTTGACCCAAATTAAGCTAAACTTGTTCTTCTCAAAACCGACTCATAGTATTTCTCCAAAGGATCCATCCGCTCGCTAATCCAGCAGTAATGAGTGAACTTTGTCGGATCATCAGTTGATGGCTCCCCGTAATCTCCATAAAATGTAATGATCTAAACATTTTTCTATAAAAATATTCAAAAAAAATTACATTTGAGTGTTTATAATTCTGTGAAAGATGTAGCTCCTTCAGAAATCTAGCGTCTAGCTCCGTGTCCGCAGTTGGTGGATCGATTCGAACACTGAAAGTTGAGAGTTGGTTCTGGAAATTTGCAAAAAAGAAAGAACAAAAACAAAAGATAAGTTTGAACTGTTAAACTCTATCAAGATATCAAGATATCAAGATAAACAAGAGAATTTAAGAATTCACTTGTTAAGCATACCGTTTGAAAGTGGCCGTTGCTGTCCCGGCGACCAATCGCAACTCACTGAGTGTACTGTAATTACAAAATTGTTTACAAAAGTTGATTTTCTTTGCCTACTAGAAGCTTTTAACAACAGCTTTCTTTATAAGAAGCTCATTTTCTTTGTTTTCTTTGATATTGACTTACAAGGTTGTCCCAAAGTCACCACGGGAAAGCAAATTGAAATCTCTGTCAGCAAGTCCATCTTCCTGAAGTCAAACGCTTTGGACAGTTCATTAAAAGCAGCTGTTCATTAAAAGCAGTGCTATTTAAATACGATTATGATGCTTATTTTAGTTCAAACAGTTTACGGATACTGTAGAAAGGTGGCTTTTCTTCAATGGCTTTCGTTGGTCTTTCCTTTCTTCTTTCATTTAAGAAAAAACACGGTTAAGTTATAATACAGTACTGGACAATGAAATATCATATTTGAAAAACGATCAAAAACACTTTCGCGCGTCTGTAACTCCCTTGTCTTTGAGTTTAAACTATTAGTGTTATACATTTTCTGAAAGCTCTTTTCAAGGGCTACACAATGGTAATATTTAATATTTAGAAATACGGTAACGACAAGGGAGTTACAGACGCGCGGAAAGTGACGATCTTTTTTCAAATATGATATTTCATTGTCCAGTTCATTAGTTACTGTTTTTTAAGCGTAGATTTTAGAAAACACTGTAAACATAAAATATTGTTTGCTTCTGATCATCTTACCGGTAATAAGTGCAGTGGAATTCGTATCTCATCCATTGCAGTAGGCTGAAAAATCTTAAATTCGAGTGCAGATTGAATTAAACCGCGCAGATTGGACGGCATCACTGAAAGTTCATGAATAAAAGCTAGGAGCATAGAATGAAGCTGTAGAATCAAAATCTTTAAAGAAAGGTAGTTGAATGAATAAGATTACGGTAGTTTTTGTAAATTAAGAACTTCAGAAAAAAAAGGTATTGAAAGAACATGTGAATGCTTCTTTGTACGTTTGTATCTTCTTTGTTTCTACGTACTTTTGACTGCTGTAATACTGTAGAATTGCTATTTTAGATATGACTGTTAGCAATTTATCTAACAAAATAGAAATCAATAGCACAGAGAAAGAAGTGCAACAGAAACAATCGAAAGACTACGCATCGCTCCAGTTGACGCGTGCAGAAAGCAAAATGAAAGTTAGTGTAAAATAGAAAATTTTGTGGGAATCTCTTCTCAACATTTAGCGTAAAAATCGATCAAAGCTAACTATAAAAAGCAAAGAGTACATCTAGAAAGAGGAATTGAAATCGTTAAAGCTTTGTTTACTTTTCATTTTTTTCATTCCGAATCTAAAAGAATGGCTTGATTGATAAGAAATAGAGAAAATTTAGAGTAATTTTTTTCTTTTTACATTCTCCGTGACGATTCTAAACCACAAACAAGAAATGAAAAACAATAAAAGAAGAATGAAATTGATTGAAAAATCAGGAGACGGCAAAGTTTTCCCTTTTCCACTCTTCACACTTGCAGAAAGCCCAATTGATTGATTGAGTTTTTGATTTGAGATTCATATTCCTCATAACCGATTCAATAAAGTGCAAATTCTATAGTCACTGGGTGTCCAAACAAAGCTCACATTGAGCTCGTTCGTTTCCATATTTTGCTCCAAACTATCCAGCTACTTTTTAGCCAAGTCGTTCTACGCTAGAGCTAATCTTGATCTAATCTGGCTCACGAAAATTGACTTTCAGATTTCAGAATTGACAACCCAACACTTTCCAAATCAATTTTCTCACTAGAAATTTCTAATGAATTTCGCAAAGTTTATACAATGTGTTCACAATTTATTAAAGTTTATATAAAGATCTAATAGATTGTGTGAAGTAAGCGTTAGCTAGCGCAAGCGTTAACCCAAAAATTTTGATGCCAAACTCACACTTCAATGAAAACTTCTCATTGCTCGAACTAATGATTGATCAGTAGAAGAATACTGTAATTTTGCTGATTTCTTTGAGATTTAATAGCTTTTATCTTATAAACTTTTGTAGGAAAATGCATGCAAAACAGATCTCTTGCCAAGAAATAAAAAATCATCCAGTGTAAGAGTGTAAGAAGTTTTGCCAATAGCGGAAAAACTATTCTGGCTTGCTGAAAGCTTTTCTTGCTGACCAAGCTGACCAGCTTTTTTCTTATTGAGGTTTAAGATTAAAAAGGTTTTTTGATTTTAATCAGATTTAAGTTGGAAAGTCAAAATTAGATTTTAAATTTGAAAATATCTTTGAAAAGTTGCCAATTTTTGCAACAAAATGATTAGCAATAAAGTGCCCGGTTTTTTTACGATTTGATCGACTTTTTTTTCTTTGATATTTCTCTGATTTGATCGGTAAATAGGTGTGGCTAAATACTGTAGTTTTATCGGTTTTCTCTATATTCTAAATTTAGTAATAGCTTTTATCTATTAAGCTTTCGAGAAGGATTTTGTAGTGATCTCTAAGAACTCAAAGAACATTGCTGACTCACCGTCAGACTACAGCTCAGAAATCATTTTCTACAGTAAACCGGAAAAGAGTAACGTTATGCGAATCTCCAAGGTGCTCAGTATTCTTTTTCGTAGATTAGCTCCCAAGCGCCAAGTTCAATCCTAATATGTTAAGTGATATATAAAATATTGAAGCCCTTAATCTTAGCTACATTTATCCATTAAAAGTTTCTTGATTGGAGATATACAACTCATTTTACAAGCTCTTGAATGAGTTAATCCCTCTCCGGCACGCTGCCATTTTGGGCGATTTTCTTCATAAAAAAATTCTTTAATCAGATAGAGTTTCTTTTGTTCGAAAAATTTATAGCAAACTTATAGCATCAGGTCAGTTAATATAACAAGGAGCACATATGAATTGAACATCAAAAAAAAAATACTCAATTTTCACTTCTTTCCTTGTACTAACAAAGGAATTTGATTTCAACTCAAACTTGAGTAAGAAAGTTTGGCCAAAAGCGGCTCTTAATGTTATTAGATGGTTTTAAATAATATTTGAATATAAAGAAATATCGAAAAGTTTTTTTATTTCTTGGCAAGAGATCTGTTTCGCATGCATTTTCTTACAAAAGTTTATAAAATAATCTCAAAAAAATCTCAAAAAAATCAGCAAAATTACAGTATTCTTCTACTGATCAATCATTAGTTCGAGCAATGAGAAGTTTTCATTGAAGTGTGAGTTTGGCATCAAAATTTTTGGGTTAACGCTTACGCTAGCTAACGCTTACTTCACACAATCTATTAGATCTTTATATAAACTTTAATAAATTGTGAACACATTGTATAAACTTTGTGAAATTCATTAGAAATTTCTAGTGAGAAAATTGATTTGGAAAGTGTTGGGTTGTCAATTCTGAAATCTGAAAGTCAATTTTCGTGAGCCAGATTAGATCAAGATTAGCTCTAGCGTAGAACGACTTGGCTAAAAAGTAGCTGGATAGTTTGGAGCAAAATATGGAAACGAACGAGCTCAATGTGAGCTTTTGTTTGGACACCCAGTGACTATAGAATTTGCACTTTATTGAATCGGTTATGAGGGATATGAATCTGAAATCAAAAACTCAATCAATCAATTGGGCTTTCTGCAAGTGTGAAGAGTGGAAAAGGGAAAACTTTGCCGTCTCCTGATTCTTCAATCAATTTCATTTTCCTTTTATTGTCTTTCATTTCTTGTTTGTGGCTTAGAATGGGCATGGAGCATGTAAAAAGAAAAAATTAGGCTAAATTTTCTCTATTTCTTATCAGTCAAGCTATTCTTTTAGATTCGGAATGAAAAAAATGAAAAGTAAACAAAGATTTTCACGATTTCAATTCCATTTTCTAAATGTATTCTTTGCTTTTTATCGTTGGCTTTGATCGATTTTTATGCTAAATGTTGAGAAGAGATTCCCACAAACTTTTCTATTTTACACTAACTTTCGTTTTGCTTTCTGCACGCGTCAACTGGAGCGATGCGTAGTCTTTCATTAGCGTTGTCTTCTCCAATCTCTCAGTTCTTCACAAGGGGTCAAAGGATAAAGAGTAAAGAACACAAATTGTAGTCGCGGAAGAGTTAAAAAGGGTATTTGACTGAGATTTCTCAGTACGTGTCGATCTGAAAAATGAAAAAATTTGGGTTTCGTTATCAACTAAGTTTGATTCACAATGAAAACAAATTTAAGCTGCTCTTTTGAATGAAACTTTTATAATTCTATGTGCTTTTTCAATTTGACTCATTTTATTTCTGATAAATTTTACATTCCCTCTCCTATTTTTCAACGAAGCAATCAGCCCTTTTTTGATAAATGTTTTATTTCTCCTTTTTGACTCAATTGAAAGAAAGGAAGACTTATTGCCAAAGTAGAAAGTAGAAAAATCAAAGTAGAAACGGAAAATCAGAAACAGACACAATAATCAAAATGCATACTTCTGATTGGTTCAAATTTTTTGGCACACTTTTGGAATTGATTACCTGTCAGTCTTCTTCTAACTAAATTTACTTTAACTATGCAATGTTAACTTTGTGAAGAGCTGATAACAGCACAGTTTAACTGAAAAAGATTAGAAGTTTTGCGGTAACTGAGAGAACTGAGAGATCTCTAACTGTCAACTTTCGGTGAAAGCGTTGCTGAGAAGGAAAAACATTGTCATGTCATGCCAAATGTGCATGAGAAGAATTTTAAACTCTCGGTGTTCTGGAATTTGGAAAACCCCATCTACTTTTGGATATCAAGAAAACATTTAACTAAATCAAATACTCTGAGCAACAAGTCAGACAAATCTTTGCCAGAGAAAAAAACCCCAAAAAGAAAAATCCTCAACATGATAATGCTAGACTACATTTTTCGAAGATGACTTGTTCTAAACTAAACTCATTTGGATGGAAGGAAATGGCTCATCCAGCATACAGCCTTGATCTTGCACCATCTGATTACCTATTTTAAGCGATGAGCAATGATTTGGCCAAAAACGGATGACTTGTTCTAAACTAAACTCATTTGGATCGAAAGAGATGGCTCATCCGGCATATAGCCTTGGTCTTGCACCTTCTGATTACCTATTTTAAGCGATGAGCAATGATTTGGCCAAAAAAACGCTTTGATTGATGATGAAGATGAAGTCAAAAAGTGGCTCACGGATTGGTTATCAAAACACAAAATTTTCTACGAGAAAGGCATCCGTTCTTTGCTAGTAAAATGGGCTCAATTCATCCAAAATAATGGAGAATATTTAGAATGTTTGCATGTAAAATCATGAATAAATCAATTGTGTTATTTTTAGGGATATCTCAGACCAACCCAATATTTCAACTAAAGCTTGTAGAGTGAGGAATTCATCTTAAACTGAAAGCTATCAAAAAATGAAACAACAACTCACAAAAGAACCCTTCTTCAATTAAGATTTTTCTTAAAAATGCACTCAATGAAAGATCTTTGGAGAAAAGTAGTGTTATTTTTTGATTAAAAACTTGACCAATGAGTTTAGCATTGTTTCGTATACATTACTCCAACTAATAAAGCCACTCTAATATGTTTCTAGTTATTTTTTTTCTTTTTCATTTATTTATAATTCAATTGACTTTAATTTATTAAGCTATTTTGAAGTAATGACAAGTATAACGCTCTCGGATTTCGAGAAAGAACAGATCAAAGCATACAAACACGTTGGAAAGAGTAAGTAAAAAGAGTAAAAAGGAAATTAAAGAGGAAAGAGTACTGGAAAGTAAGAAATTGCTCGACTTTCCACGATGGTTAAATAAAAATGTAGAGAAAAGTTGGTACTTTTCCGTTATAAATCCGCAAAAATAACCCCCGAACATTTAATAATCAAAAATCGATCAATTTAACCAAAATCAAAAATAAATAATCAAAAAATATGATTAATGAAGAGTCCATTGCATAGCAATTTGTTGCAACCATTCGTAATCCATCAATAGATGAATTGTAGGATTGTAAGAAACGGAATTTGAGTCCCCTCCATCCATGATCCACTCAAGCCGATCGCTATCCGCCACGACGTTTTCTCGCATCTTCATAGGGGATTCTGATTGAGTGATAGCTTCATAACGTGGAGAGTTAGCGTATTTTCGAGTAGTAAGCAAGATGCAGCGTTGTTGAAAGAACGAGATTGAATTGGCTTCGATAGTCGATAAGAAAAACATGGCTTCGGTAGTCGGTAAGCAAAACATAAATCCACCGTCAGGAAATAGCAAAAAAAATGAATTTTCTATAGTTTCCTTTGTTCATTTTCATTGAAGAATGCAAATTTTGTAGATTTATAACGGAAATGATTGAGGGTTTATTTTTGCGGATGTTTAACGGAAAAGAACTGAAAAGTACAAAGATTTTCTACTAGCCAAAGTTGAATTTCATTGCTTTCTCTTAAAAGTCGCTGAGTTTTAAAAATTGAGTGGCTCTATAATTAGTTGAAGCAGTGTATAATAGGTTGCATGTAGCGGGAATTCGGATTGAGTGATAGCTTCATAACGTGGAGGGTTAGCGTATGTTCGAGAAGTAAGCAAGATGCGGCGTTTTTGAAAGAACGAGATTGAATTGGCGTCGGTAGTCGGGAAGCAAAACGTGGCTCCACATGAAATAGCAAAAAAATGAATTTTCTATGGTTTTCTTTGTTGATTTTCATGGAAGGATGCAAATTTTGTGCATTTATAACGGAAGTGCTTGAGGGTTTATTTTTGCGGATGTTTAACGGAAAAAAGCCAAATTTTGATAAGATGTCATTATTTTTTAAAACTTTGACTTCCCAGTTCGATCTCTAGAGCTTTAGTTTTGGGTATTTGTTTAAGCAAACTTAGAACTTAGCAAAAAACTTAGCAACAAACTTAGGACTATCAGATTGAAAAATTCAATTGAAAGAGTAAATGGTTCTTTTCCGTTAATCCGCAAAAATTCGATTGGGTTCTCCAATTTTTCCGCTCGGCTTGTTCACCAGATATTCCGCGCAAAGATCCCGCATATAGTTGTTGAAGTCGACCGCAGTGGTGTATCGGGGATTCTGATTGAGTGATAGCTTCATAACGTGGAGGGTTAGCGTATTTGCGAGTAGTAATCAAGATGTTGAAAGATGCGAGATTGAATTGGCTTCGGTAGTCGGTAAGCAAAACATAAATCCACCGTCAGGAAATAGCAAAAGAATGGATTTTCTATGGTTTCTTTGTTGTTTTTCATGAATGCAAATTTTGTGGATTTATAACGGAAATAATTGAGGGTTTATTTTTGCGGATGTTTAACGGAAAAGAAATGAAAAGTTTAGTACAAGTTTAGTACATTTTCTACTGGCCAAAGTTGAAATTCATTGCTTTCTCTTAAAAGTCGCTGAGTTTTAAAAGAAGTGTATAATAGGTTGCATCAATATATGGCAGTCAAATTTAAAACCGATTACGATTGATTAGCCGATTCATTCATTTTCTTTCTTTTTCCATGCAAATCACCGAAATCAAGTGTGGAATTTGATGGAAAAATGAAAATTGAATCAAATTTCAGACTCATTTTGGTATTAATTGTTTCAAATCTGATATTTCCAAGGTTTCTAAACGATTTCTAACCGAGAACTCTCTCAAGAACGCAGTTTCTTTCCTACTTTTTATCATCTTAGCAATTTTTAAAAAAATTAATTGCCACAGTGAGCAAAACTTTCAAATCCAAATGCAAATAGAATCACATTTCAGACTCATTTTGGTATTAATTGTTTAAAATCTGCTATTTCCAAGGTTTCTAAACGATCCAAAACCGAGAACTTTCTCAAGAAAGCAGTTTTTTTCTTACTTTTTATCATCTTAGCAGTTTTTTTTTAAAAATTAATTGCCACAGTGAGAAAAACTTTCTCTCGATCTCAATTTGAGCGGAGATTTGAACTGAAATCAAAAATTTCTCTTTTCTGGGTTGATAAATCACGAGTGAAATCTTGGATTACACTAGACATCATACAAAAAAGTAGTTTTATCTGTTTTTTATAAAATTCTTGCTTTTTTAGCTGACTCTGGATAGTCAGTTTTCTAAAAAATCAGTCTCAATTGTTCAATTTTTGATTTTTATCTCAATACCAGAGCATCTCTGATCTCTGAAATCCCACAAATGATTCAATTTCTAACCTTAGAAATTGAATGATTTGTGGGATTTGTGTTTTTGAGTCAGATTTCTAACATTTAAACACATTTAAGAAGTAAAATAATCGCTTTAAACATTGCAAAACCCTTTTAGGGCTTTTCAACTTTTCAACAGCTTTTTTTACAGCTTTCAATCAGGCTAAATCATTTATTGGGTTGGGGAGAATGAGTCGGCGCCGAAATTTAAAGAAACTTTTTGCACCCATAAAACCTTCTTTAAATACACGTTTTGTTTCATCAAAATGGTCCACTATTTCTTCACAAAATGGCTTTTGAGAGATTCCACAAAGCTTTTCTTTTTTGGGATTTTATGGATTCCCAAACACAGCTAATCAAAATGACAAAAAGTCCGACTCATTGCTTGAACAGTTTCTTCCACATAAACCTCCTTTGGTGTTTATATAAAAAAAGATAGAGCACACTCAATTACATAAGTTACCAAATTTTCAGGAAGATCCCTCCAACCGTTTACTCTAGATGACAGTTTATCGATTTTGTGAAAAAATGGTCTTCTGTTGAGCTGAGGCGCTGTTTGAGTTCTCTTTTAAATGTGATTTTGTAGAGAATTAGTTAACCTTTCTACTGATATCAAACGCTTTTCATTTGACGAAGTCTCCGAGAAGTTTTAGAAATTTCTTTGATTTTCGGCGCCGACTCATTCTCCCCAACCCAATACTATTCACTAAAATCGTAGGATTGACTTTCTCAATCTCAATTGTTCAATTTTCGATTTTTATCTCAATACCAGAGCATCTCTGATCTCTGAAATCCTTGGAAATTGAATGATTTATGGGATTTGTGTTTTTGGGGTTAGATTTCTAACATTTAAACACATTTAAGAAGTAAAATAATCGCTTTACATTGAACAAACATTGAAAAAACCCTTTTGAGCACTTTTTTTACAGCTTTCAATGAGGCTAGATCAAAGAAAATCGAAAATTGAACAATTGAGACTGATTTTTTAGAACATTTACTATCCAGAGTGAGCTAAAGAAGCAAGAATTTTATTAAACATTGGAAAAACCCTTTTGGGCACTTTTTTTACGGCTTTCAATCAAGCTAAATCATTTACTATTCACTAAAATCCTACGCCTAAACCCTTTAAATTAATTGCCATTGATAAAATTTACATTTCATTGATATTATTATTATTATTCACATTATTATTGTTCCATTTTTTTCATTGATTTCTTTGAAATCTCCTTCAAAACCTGTTTTTGAAAGGAGGATTTTGAAATGCTGATCGAAAAACGAAAATCAAAGGTTCTCAGATTGGTAAATTGTCTAATTACGAGGCTAAAGCGCGTCAAAATTGTGCTAAAACTTTAAAAAACTTTAATTATTAGCTAAGTAATTTTGTCTACTATTACAATTCTTTGCGATTTTAGACTAATTTTAGACTACAATGCGAGACGAGGTTCATCCCGAATTTCGACACAAACATTTCCATAATGGTATCATTTTTTCGTATTTTTTCAAATTCAATTTGAAATCTAGACTCTGAAAAGTCAAATGATTCGTCGATTCAATCGAAATTTCAAAAAATTCACACTGAGTGGAGCAAAGTTTATATAGGAGCACTTCTATTGTTCTTTATAAATCTCGAGAAGAATGTTTTAGCGTTATCGGATTGGCTTTACATGAAACAGGTAAAACTTTTGAGATATTTTAGATGGAAATTGAAGAAATCATCAAAGAAAGCTAACGTTTAGTTGGATCCGACCGTAAGCCCGGACTTTTTTGGAGCTGTTTTGGGAGTGGCAAGGATTGGTCATGCTGTGGCGACGATTGCTTTCAGTTATTGGAGATCGAAGACGAAAACGACAAAGTAATCAGTTCAATGTTTTGAGTGATTGGCACAGATTAAAAGTTGCATATCTGACTCTGGATTGATTGGTTGGTAGAGTTTGGAATTCACTGATTCACTGATTCACTATCTGGACCGAACCGGACCAGAAAACCAAATAAAATGGCTCTGGACTGGATTAGACTAGATCCGGGAAGTTCGGAAAGTGAACTGGATCGGAAAGTCCGGATAAACTGCACAGATGATCCGTATCACAAGTACGAACCAAAAATTAGGGCTTTAAAGCTTTGTTAGACAAAGATCTTACGATCTTACGAGTTTCAAAGTATCTACAGAATCGCCGCGAATTATCACCTCAGTTTTTAGGTTAAATCTTGGCAGTAGCTTCGCAAACCAGTTAAATTCCTTTCTAATATGAAAATTGAGATAATTTTTTACACGAATTTCTTTCTACAAAGTGTAGAATGGTTTTGAGATTTTTATTAAAGACTTGATTAAAGATTCGCCCAACTCTTGGCACGCAACTCAATCTGCAGCCCAATCTCAATCTCAATCTGCAGCTCATAAACAGATTTTAAGAACTCTCACATTGTTTATTTGACTCTTTTCTAGTTAAAAAGCTTAAAAGAAACGTTTTTCAACAAAAATCTTCAATCAAGTGGTTTTTTACGAGCTTTGGATGAGAAATGAAACTTTTTGAAGATGGGTTTGGCACCAGTACCGGTACCAGTCACAGAGTAACTTCTAGGCATCGGATCGGTCTGAAAATCTGGAAATCCTCTTCGACATCTTAGAAAAAAGGATTCCCAAATTTTTAGATTGATCTGATGTCTAGAAGTGGGTAATCTGTGGGTACTGGTACCGGTACCAGTCATAGAGTAACTTCTAGACATCGGATCGGTCTGAATCTTCTTGAAACTGGCAAATTTCATCAGTTAATCTCAAATTTAACTTTAAAAATTATCCAAATGTTACTCTTAAAGTTTAAATTTATCAAAAAAGCGAGAAAAATGATTTCAACCTGAAAATGAACTAGAAAGAGCTTGAATTGTTTAAAGCTTGAATTGCAAAAAGTAGCGTTTGTTTTGTTTGCCAAGGATTGTTTTAGGTTTTTCCAAGCCTTTAATAAAAAGCTCAAAATAATTCTACAATTTTTATAAAGAAATTTGCGTAGGAAACTATCACAATTTTTATATTAAAAAGGAATTAACCTGATTCGCGAAGCTATAGCCAAGCTTTAACCTAAAAACTGCGAGGAGATAGTTTACGGTGATCCTGTAGACTCAAAATAGCAGAATTCCTTCTAGAATTACTTATTGTTTCATTAATTCATCAAATAAAGCAAAAAGTAGCGTTTAAATTGCAGAAAAGCTCTCCTTATCGGTCGTCTTTGTGATGCTATTGCTTTCATTCTCTACTGTGGAGTCGAGTTCTTCGGCTCTTCTGAAAAGCGCTATGTGCTCATGGTCGTCTATTTTCTTGTTTACACCTTAGGACTTGGTAACCTAGAAACTAGATGAAGTCTACAAGAATTCTAGGCTCAAGTGTAACTCTCAGAACTTACATGGTCGATTGCTCTCTACCAGAGGATCGATCCTCGGTTTTCGCCTTGAGAACTTTAGCCACAGTGTCAGGAATGTTGTTGCCGCCAAGTATTCTAGCTTTTGAATAATTTCTAATTGTGAAAGTTTTAGTTTTGCAACTACTCTTTACGAGTTTCGAGTATCCAGGAATCTCAATTGGACATGAAGCAGTGAGTGAAATAATTTGAATGCTTTTCTATGAAGATGAAAAGATCAGCTTTCAATCTTTAGAAAAGAAATCAGCTTTCAATCTTTAGTGTAATCTTGGCTAATCTTGGCTTAGTAGAATGCATAAATTTGCAGCAAATAGCTAACAAAACAGCTAAATTAAAGCGGGAATTGATCCCAAAAGTTTGAGCATAGTGACGTCACCAAAAATGCAAAAAAGGGGAAATCGTCCACCGCTTTTTCCGCCTTCCGCATTCTAAAAAGAAGTCTTTTATACCAAAGTGGTTTGCCAGATGGTGAGCGATTACCACACAAAGAACACTTTGCCAACTTTCTTTTGTTTTTTAGATGTCACAAAAGATATTGAGCTGTAAATTTGTACCCAAGGGTTTTTGAGGTCGAAGAATCGATTGGAAATGTTTAGACTGTTCTACCAGTTTTAGTGAGAATTGATCCTAATTAGGAGCCGTTTTTTAAGTGATAAATAGAAAACACCAAAATCTGCCTTTCAGATTCGACTTCATCTATTCTCCGGCCCAGTCTTGATCACTTTAATCACGAACATTCTGGCCACATTAACCATCGTTTTTCTCTTCTCCGAGCCAGCTTCTTTAGAGCAAATGAAAATCCAAGAAACACTTAATAAGGGAAAGCAATCAGGTAGTCAGCAATCAGGCAATTTAGAGAAATTTAAACAAATTTTTCTTTCAGAGAAATTCGAGAGTTGCTCTTTTGGAGTAAAGACAATGAATTTCTTGAAAAATCCCAGCTTCTCTTGGCATCTTATCTCTATGATTTGCTTAGCAAAAGTGGCTATTTATGCCTCGAATGCGACTGTGACTGTGTAAGTTGTGATTGGCTTTGAAAAATTGGATTTTTCTTAAACTTTAACTTTCAGGGTCCATTCTGCTTGGTCACAAATCGCTTTTGGCTGGTCTTCTTCAGAAACAGTTATCAAATTAACAAATGCAAAGATTTATTTGGGAATCGTCTCCATTACGATCACACTCGTGCTTTTTAAGCTAGGGAAAAAGTTGGTTTTTGAAATTTTCTTGAAAAACTTTTCCCAGAATCGGCGACCACGTGGTTCTTTTGATCTGCTCGCTTTTTATTCTCTCGCATTTTATAATCACCTATCCTATGCCCGAATTGGCAACCCTGACAACACCATTGTATAATGGTAATTGCAAATGAATGTTTATTTTGAATGAAATTTAGAAACAACTCATGGAGGATGTAATGAAATAGAATACTCATGGTGTGGAGCAAGAGTTGGGAATTCGGATGTCTGGGTCTATTCATCGGTTAGTGTACAAGAAAATGACTTTACGATAGATATGGAGCTTACATTACTTACTTACTTTTGCACCAAAAATAGCTGCTTATGCAAGTTGTTTTTTATCCTAGTTGGCGAGAAAGACTGTGGAAGATAAATAGATAAATAGAGCGGAAATTTTAAATGCTTTCGAGCGCCCATAAAGTATCAACTGGCATTTCCAAATCAAGCATCTGTGTCTGTCAATGTTTTCATAACAAAGAAAACTTGTTTTATTGAATAACAAAAAAGTAAAGCAATATCTGGATCCAAACCTAAGATTCCCTGGACGCTGGTGCGCTATTCCATCGACCACACTTGCTCCTCCATGTCTTGAAAATTTTCCTACACATGGACGGACAGATAGACAGATAGACAGACAGACAGACAGACAGACAACCCTCAATTATACATAGTAGAAGATAAATCAATATATAATAGATTATAGGGTTTTTCGATGGTTGGCAAGAAAGACTTTGCACAGATTTGAACTCGAATTTCTTAAAACAAATCCATCAACTCAAGAACACTTTATTCTATTATTTACAAGTCAACTGCAAAAAATTCCTTGTAAAAAATGATGAATTCAATTCAGTTTACAAATTTGATAGAAAGTAATGCTTCCTTAAAAGTTTTTAAATTTTAAATATCGCTAATATGGGATTGAAGAGCATTGAAACTATCAACAACACGATTAGAGAACAAATTTCTGGTTGATTTGCACAAAACTAATGCACAAAACTAATTGTTTATGAAGAAGAAAAGCCCCTAGCTACGGATCGCCTGTTTTTGAGAGAGAAAATTTATAAATGACGGCACTAAATGAATATCTTTGACAATTTTAAAACATTCTACTAGATCAATAATATGATGGTTTAATTTATAAGCATACCTAAGAGTATTTAGTAAAATCTACCTTATAGAGGTAAAATCTACCTTAATCTGCCTTAATCTACCTTAGATTTTTTTCAATTTTATAAGAAAGGAAGAGCTAAAGAACCAAATAAGAGAAGTATTCAAGAATAGGACGTACATAGTTGATAAAGCATTTTTGGTATGTGAAGATATCGGGAAAATGGGTTTCCTTCTTGATCAGAGTTGACGATTGGGCGGCGTTAGATCCCGCTTACAATACCTGAAGAAGTTGTGGTTACTTTTGAATTTGGCAGAGACGATACATTAAGAATAAATAGTTTTGACTATTTTGCGATAAATTTTTCTTCAATCGCTATCTTTTTCAAGAGCAAAGTCTTTCAAAAGTTCTCTTTCAGGTAGCCCTTATGGTAATCGCTGTGCAAATCGCATTGGTCTCATCAGACGCAATTTTCTCGAATCTTCTAGAGAAAATTGATCAGGTTTCTATCAAAAATTTCTTTTGTCCTTGTCGGGTTCTTGTCCGTTTTCCTAACTACTAGAATTTTCTCGGATATTCCGAATTCTTCCGGACTTTTGGAGACTTTCAAGACGCTTTCACGTTTTTGCGTGTTTTGCAAATTGATTTTTTTAAAAATCTATTTACTATTATTGTTAGCTACATTTTAAGCTACATGTTGTACATTTCAAGCCTTCGAATGATATAAAATAGAAGCTGATTGATTCAATCAAATTCAAAACTGGGGAAATCAAAGCCAACTTGACCTTGAGATCGGCTCTTTGTCACTTGATTTGTCGATTGTTTTTCATCAAAATGAATCAATCAATTTGAATGATCCAATCAAGCTTTTACCATTTGAAAGCTTAAATTGTTCTCTTTAAAACTATAAAAAAAGATAACAATATTATTTAATATTATTTCTAATTGTAAGCAAAGTTATATTGGGTTGTTCAGTTATGAATGCGCGTTTTTTACTATTTTGTAAGTTTCTCTAGATACGGAAATCAAGAAAAAGATATATATAGAGTATTATTCGAAAGCTGAAGATCTCCTCTACATTTTGATATAAAAAGTTTTTGAATTTGTTCAGCTTTTGGGCAAATTGACTACACAGAAGAAGAGGTGGCCAAAAAATGGAAGGGTGCCTTTGGATCAAGTTTTGGCTCCGCTCAAATTGAGTTAATCGTTTGATGTTTTACCAATAGATATATCAATACAACTTTTTTTTAAAATATAACAATTTCAGAGCATCTTTACTTTTCTTTTCTTTTCTGGGCGGTTATTTTACACCATAAAACTTGAGGAATAGCTAAGCTGAAATGGATTTTTTTTTTGAAAACGACCTCGCCCTTTGTGTAGTGAATTTACCAAAAAAGTTGAATGAATTCAAAAACTTTTTTGTTCCAAAATGTAGAGGAGATCTTCAGCTTTCGAATGTTATATAACACTCAAATACAGTACTGGAGAATGAAATGTCATATTTGAAAAACGATCGTCACTTTCACACGTCTGTAACTCCCTTGTCTTTGAGTTTAAACTATTAGTGTTATACATTTTCTGAAAGCTCTTTTCAAGGGTTACACAATGGTAATATTAATATTTAGAAATACGGTAAAGAAAAGGGAGTTACAGACGTGCGAAATTGACGATCTTTTTTCAAATATGTTATTTCATTGTCCAGTAGTGTAGTAGATAGTAGATTAGCTAAGGACGGTTCTTTTACATGCATAATTATATGGTTATATAACATTTTATAGATGTCTAGTAGATTTAAATGCTGTAGTGGAGATCTTCAGCTTTCGAATGATATATAAACGCTCATATACATCTGTTCGATATCTTGAGAGATTTACAAAATAGTAAATAGTAATTTACATTCATAACTGGACAATCCAATAGTTCTCAAAACGGATAAGAGTAAAAATTCATTTTTAGCAAGGAAAATCAAATTTCTTTTTGCAGAGCATGATGCAAGGGTTGTTAATTGTTTTGAGTGATGCCGTTCAAATGATCGCTTCAATGTACTCAGCGTAGGTTTCTTTGAAAAAGCAAGTTGAAAACTAGGAAAATGCATTAATATCAAAAGCTTAATGTTATCTAAATTTCAAGTTCTTTTCAGTGATTTGTTCACTCGTTGGGGACTTGAACCGCTTTGGATTCTCAACATTTTCATCTCAATCTTTGTCGTTTTCGTTTCAATATTCTATTTTAAAAGATTTAAATTGTAAGTTATAGAAAAATTGAACAGAACCCAACTTTTTGTTTGGAAGCTTGCAACTTTTAGTTCTCATTTTTCTCAAAATGTGATTCTTGTATAAATATTTGATATTTATTTGTCAACTGGGACTAAACTGTTCCTTGTGGAGGCGGTAATCGGCTGAATTGGTGTCATCGTTGATCTTCGGCGACTTATTGATGTGAAATCGTTTATTTTCCTTCGACTATAGAACAAACCGAGCATTGAACGTTTTACCTGAATAGAGGATTTCAGTTTGCTATACGTATTGTTATACCAGCAGACCGCCTAACAGCGGGTTTTTCTGGCTGAATAAGTCGGGGGTTTCTGTTGCCGTGGCGTGGTCGAGAGCGCCCTTGTCTCCGGGCCATAGGCTCCAGGTTCGACCGCCCGTAGTGCCGTTCAACTTATCTTTTTAGTTTTTTATTTGAAATACCACAACTACAATATATTCTAAGGCTTTCTAAAGAAGTTTTAGCTTTATTGGTCAAAAAACGGCTGAGAAAAAGCCTGAACAGCAGACAGACGGACAGACGGACAGATAGACGGACAGACAGACGGACAGACAGACAGACGGACAGACGGACAGACGGACAGATAGACGGACAGACAGACGGACAGACAGACAGACGGACAGACAGACGGATAGACAGACGGACAGACAGACAGACGGACAGACGGACAGACAGACAGACAGACGGACAGACGGACAGACATTGCTCTTTTCATATGTTTACATATGTTTAACTGTTGTAATGGTATAGGATTGTTATTTCAGATATAACTGTTAGCAATTTATCTAAGAAAATAGAAATCAACATCATAGAGAAAGAAGAACAACAGAAACAATTCAAAATGAGCAACGATAAGACTGACGACTACTCGTCGCTCCAGTTGACGCGTACAAAAGGCGAAACGAGAAGTACAAAATAAAAAACAGTTTTCGGAATCTTTTCCCAACACAGTTCTGGTTATTATACACAAAAACATTGTTAGACTGGAAGGGAAAGAGTTATGAACTTACTTATACTATCTGAGAGTACTTTGTAGCTAGGAATTACTAGTTTTAGAGTACTTTTAGAGTACTTTGTAACTAATCAAGAGCGTTCCACTGAATACAAGTCACCTTAAAGGCTAAAAACTGCTAAAGGACTTATTTTATAAACTACAGTAACGCAACTTAAACAGTCTAATAGTTAAAATTTTATATTACACAGCTTTGAGGCAAATCTGTTAAAATTAGAAGAACAAAAACGATCAAATTGCAGCTACAACTCAACCATTTGAGCTTAACCACTACAATTTTAAAATTTTATGTTTTCATGCTGGAGTTCTCATGATGAAGATCCTGTTATTCTCTTCTTTCTTTCTTCCTTTCTTCTTCCTCCTTATCTTTTCTTCTTTCTCTTGGCGAGTTAAGGTACTGGATTAAGGTTAAGGTCAAGAATTCAATTCCCTTTTCCGAAATCTACTTTTTCTTTCCAATTCCTTCACTTCTTTATTAGTCTTTTATCAGTTTTTGATGAAGATTCTGTTAAAATTGCCTTTTCAACTAACCTTATCGTTAAATAAAAACAAAACAATCGGATTTGCCATCATAATAATCCCACTTATCGTCATCGGAACAATTCCCACGTAAGCATTCCCGGGAAACCACGTAAAAATGAAGAAGAAACAGAGAGAACCGATGAGTGAAGGAGCCGAAATGAAAAGGCATTGGATTGTCTGGAAATTTTATTGGAAATTGATTTTTTGAGAAAACGTACAAGCGAGAGATTCACTGAGAGATCCTTTTTTGATGAGTTGAATTCGAAAAACGATAATTGTGTAGATGATGAGGAGGGAACCGGGGATGATTTGACCTAAGTAAGTAATTGGCGAACTAACTAGAGAAGAGTACTAGGTCAATTTGGGGTTTTAAAAAGAGACCCAGTCCATTCGATAGATAATCAAGAAAATCAAGAAAATCAAGAGAATCAATTATTGAGAAAAATGAAAAGGAAAAAGTTTTTCAATTGGGGGATTCGAACCCACAGCAAAAGCTTTCATAGGCTCCGTATGCAAGCAAACTATCCCCTACACTACGACTGTCGCTATGGCTCACGTAAACTCGACTGTATAGGACAAAAATGATCCAAGAGTGTATAGAAAAAAACTTCGATACTAGAAATCTATTTAAAAGATTCTGATTACAGATTCAGATTCCCCGTTTGATTTTCTATAGAATGGCTTTGATCATTTTAAAATCCCACGGTGAGTTAGTACTCGTTACTAGTAAGTTAGTACTCCTCTTTACTAGTAAGTTAGTACTCTTTGCTAGTAAGTTAGTACTCCTCTTTACTAGAAAGTTAGTACTCCTCTTTACTAGTAAGCTAGTACTCTTTACGTAAGTTAGTACTCTTTACTCTTTATCTTTTTTACTAAATTCTATCACTTTCTATCATTAACATTTTGATAATCTAACTGTTTTTCAAAGTTACTGAATCGATAATTGTTAGAAATGATCTGTTTCAGGCTAAAGTTATTGCAGTTGATCACTAATTAGACTATTTCATTTATTGAAAAGCTTTTAGAAACAGAAACAGATTTGCTACTTTGGAATTGATCTTGTAAAAGTTAAAACTTGATAAATATTGCTGGGTTAAGTGTTAAGTTCTGTTTTTGTCTTGTTTTATACTTAATAAACTCAAAAATTGAGTAGTTACGTTATGGAGTTCTTTTCCCAATAAAATTTCGCAATCTTTCATCTCTAAACTCGTTTAAATTCGCTATTTCTTAGCTTAAACTATTCAATTTACTAGATTGATAAATGATATTACCGTAAATACTGTAATAGCACCCCACCCCCATAATGACTGCGGTGTGTCGTGTAGTCTAGCTTTGAACGAGTTTTTCTCGACACTGGTTTATGCTCCAATGCGCGCTTAGGTAACAAAAAATAACCCTGAATTTCAGCTATTTTTTGATACCAAAGACGCATTTTTTGAAAGTACGGGCGCTTTGAAAAAAATGAAATACTAAAAAACTTTTGCGACTACGCGACTGTACGAGGGCGGTGGGGTACTATTGCAGTATTCACGGTATGTTTTCTTTCTTTTCTTTCAATTAATTGCAAACTGTTTTGTAGATTTTGTTACGCTTTATTACTGAAATAAAATCTTATTTATTAATATTAAGAGTATTAATCGACTCAAAAACCAACTATTAACGATTCTATGAACTCAAAACAAATCACTCACTTGATAAAGTGTAAACCCGATAAATGTCTCCACAATTTCCACACGCAAATGTGTAAGATAAAAATCGAGGACTGAATATTTTAAAGCATCCGTAAAGTGACGGAATTAAAACAATAACAATTCCAAAACACCATGCGCAAAGATGTAAAGCTTTCTGAATGAAAAAATCATCTTCTAGCTTTATTAATCAAAAACCTAATCCTAAGTTTTATGTTGTTGCTAATTGAAAAGAAAAACCTTATGCTAACAACTCTAGAAACTCGCCGTAAGCTGAAAAGTCGTTATATCGCTGATCTTCGTGCACATATGGATGAAACGATTCAGCGCTATAGCCATCAGGAAAGCTTGTTCTGTGTAATAAGTGAAAGTATCAATAGTAGCCAATGGAATCATCACATTTAGATCAGAGATATACTTATAAGAGTCGAGAATCACTGAAACAGTCATAGGATTGAGTAGTTCTTGATTTTTGTAATTTGAGTGGGCTAGAGGAGGCTCCATTGAGGTCAGACCAGACCAAAAGGTGCCTTGGCTTCAGATTTGTAAATTAAACTAGATCAGAAGTCAGTCAACCTAGCCAGGCTTGTTTCAAAGAAATTTTTTTGGGCAAAGGCCAAGCTCTGACTTGGCTTAAACTGTTTCAACTTAGCATCGCGTTCAGCTACCAGTTTTACTAAACCGTCGGATTTCGGTTATCAACCTATGGCAATTATAAAAATTGTTCCTTGTCTTGCTTAGGATTTAGGCTCTTTTCAAATTGACTATTAATAAATTGTTCAGAAAAACCCATTAAAATAAACCCATAAACCGTTTCTGCATTAATGAGAAAAGCATTCTAATCTTGTTTGCAAAAAAAAGAGAAGGCTTTGGTCGCGACAGGCTTCGAACCCATGAGCATAGGTTTCTAGAGGCAGCGTACTATCCTCTAGAACACCAGGTCATCTTCTAGACTCGACAAAGGGAAGCCTTATATCACCGAGCTCCGAAAATCTTTCGCGCTCCCAACTTTCAAACGTGTTTTTAAACAGATTAAAGGGCCTATTGGGCTGATTTTAAAACTAGGTTTTGCTCAGAATTTTGCGTAGAATCCGATGCGCTAGGTCTCGTAGCTTAACTCGATGCTAAGTTGAAACAGTTCCCCAGTTAGCTTACTGAAGATCTGGCCTGCCTGGAGCCAGAAAAGCTCATGGGGTTCACTAGAAGGCACCTGGTCTCTGAGCTATTCTGGATTAGATTTCCAATTTTCTTTGGTTAAGAACTTTGAATCTTAGTCAGGAGGTCGAGGGTTCAATCCCGTCGGCTAGTGAATAAATGTATTTTTAAAAACATCTTAGTACGCTGTTTCTACGAACTTTAGTTTGCAAAGAGGAAAATATTTTGCTTAAATTCTTCAAGATCTTCTATTCAATCTTTGAACAAAGATTTTCAGCTACTTACGGCTTTTGGAAGTCGCGCACTAATTCAATTTTCCTCTTGCTTTTTGAGTAAACAATCATCAGAGTTCAATCACTTTGCAAATCATTTTTAGTACATGAAAAACAAAGCTTTTTTTTCGCTTTTTGTAATTTCCAATTAGACTTTTCAAAATCGTGTGAAAATGGCTTTTCTACCTCCTTTTTTCTAATCGAATTATGTCTAAATTTGTCCTTACCCGGTACAGCCGCCGTCAAATAGGCCACAAAATACATAGCCCCAATTAGAGACTGAGAAATTGAAATTTGAAAAACTTCAATCTTCAAAAAGTAAGCTC